GTTTTTTTTTGGTTGGTTGGTTAGGTTTTTTTGTCTCTCCAGAATGAGGTATATCAGGTCCTAAGCCTGGTCAGAACTCATTATATTCCTTATTTGTGAAAAATCAGTGAGCAATCAAAGAAAAAAGTTTGCTTCTGTAGTCTAGGTTTGGGAAGAAAAAAATTTTTAGTATTAAAACTGTGAATGCAGTCTGCAACTAATATGTATTTTTAATTACTGTATTGGCTCAAGATTTCTCTTTTCCTAATAGGTACAAAAAGTCTTTCAGGCAAGTGATCTGAAAAACAAATTTGAGAGATGTGAAATTTCCCAGTTCAAGTACGTACAGTTTAATTAAACTTTGCAAATAAATGTCAGGAGTCCTCACTTAGCTATTTCTCTCAGGAGTGCCTACTAATACCTTGCTTTTCAAGAGATCCTTGGGAACATCCTATATTATTTCTTTCATGACGTACGTCTTCCAAGTGCTGCTGTGGAAGTTTGACACTAATGTGTTTCCTTGGGCAAACTTCCTTCTTGGGCTCCTTGTATGTCCATGCCTTCACCAAACCTGTAACGCTGAACCCTAAGAGCAACTCACAAAGATTCTGCATTTTAAAGAATTTCTGGGGGATTTTTCTCAAGTTTTATTAGTTGTGCTATGTTTGCAGGGTCACTGGCCTTTGCCAGCTAGAAGAAAGTTCAGGTTAGAGATCTGCTGGTATAAGCTGAGATGAATGGAAATATATCTCCTCATGGACATAGATCCACCTAACTCATATTCCTTAGTGTGTTAGCAAGTGAGACTGTCGTTTGACACCACGTAAAGCTGCACTCTGTGTCTCCTAAAGAGTCCATAAAATAGGTACCATAAGACCTGCTTCCCACTTCATTTATTAAAGCTTATTTGACCTCATTTTTCAGTATCTTATTGTGGTGATTGATCTACTGAAGACCAGCTTGAAAAAAAAAAAAAAAAAAAAAAATCCAGTATATGCAGTGAGGTCTGTAGTGTTAAATTCATCCATCTGCACCATTCTTACTAAAAGTTTCTGATTCAGAAAAAAAATTTACTACTGTTTCCCATTATTAAACAGTTTCAGAACACACTTCCGTCCTATCCACAACATTATAAACTCAAGAGGAATCATATGCTTTTATGTTCTGAAGTTTTTTATCTTTTTTTTTTCTCCAGGAAATCTGAAGATGGACGTGAAAGATTCAAGAAGTCAGAGATTGGGTAATTGCATATATAAAGTTTACTTAAAATATGGGCAAGAGGCAATGATGCTATCTTTGCTGGTATTGGTCAGGATAGAGCTAATTTTCTTCACAGTAGCTGGTATGAGGCTGTGGTTTGGGTTTGCCCTGAGAATAGGACTGATAAGGTGTTTGTTAGTTGGTGCTGGTGAGGGCTTGCACCACTTCAAGGACTTTTTCAGCTTCTGATACTGCACCTGTATTCCCAACTTTCTCATTACAAGCAAGAGGCGGTGAGGGGAATGGGTGGGGACAACACAGCAAGTACAGACAGTTAACCCGGACTGGCCAAAGAAGTGTTTCATTGCATAGCACATCATGCTCAGTATATAGGCTGGGGGTAGGCAGAGGGGGTGGGGGCCATAGCTCACTTGCTCATTAGCTTGTCTGTTTTGCTTGTTAGTTAGCTCGTTTACTTATGCAGTTGTTAGTGAGTTGGTGGGTCAGCTGGCTTTCTTGGTTGTGTTTTCACTCATGGGGCTTGCTCAGACACTGCTGTGATCGTACTCGGCCTCTCTGGCTCTGACTCTTGTTACTTGGGACCTGGCTGTGTATCAGTCAGCAGGTGGTAAGCCATTTTAACATGTTTTGTTTTCTATTATTTTAGTAACATTTTATTAGTAATATTGTTAATATTATTGGTATCACTATAATACTCATTTATATTGATAGAATCACAGAATGGTTTGGGTTGGAAGGGACCTTAAAGATCATCTAGTTCCAACCTCCCTGCCATGGGTAGGGACACCTTCCGCTAGACCAGGTTGCTCAAAGCCTCGTCCAGCCTGGCCTTGAAGACAACCAGGGATGGGGCATCCATCAATTATTAAATTGTTTTTATTTAAAAACAATTATTAAATTGTTTTTATCTCAATGCATGAGCTTCCTTGTCATTTCATCTGATTCTCCTTCTCCACTGGAGGAGGGGGGGAAGTGAGCCAGTGGCTGTGTGGTACTTAACTGCTAGCTGGGGTTAAACCATGACACTATCAAATTTAGAAATTTCTTCTGTCAACAAAAAGGAAAATGTCTCTTTAGCGAGTAGATAAGGCTCTCTAAAAAGGATATGAAGCCTCAAGACATATCTTTCCTCCAAAAAACATCATTTATAATTAGAAAAAAAAAAAAATAGTCCCTGGGACTGCCAACTTAAAAAGAAAAATGGGACAGGCAAGGACAGTGAAGTCCGTAGGAAACAAGCTAGAAGGATTAGGATATTAATTTGTGCTGAGCTTGCTTGTAGAAAACTGCTTAGATTTAGGGGCAGATCTCGCATTAGCATTAGTAACTTAAGTATTAAATAAAGAAAGGTCTGATGATGCACTACGATAGCAAAAACCAAGGCAGACAACAAAAGGCTAAGACTCTGGAGGAACTGGAAGACCTTGAGAAATTAATTATTTAATTAGATATATAGGTGAGACCACAAAATTGAAGTGCACATTATATGAGAACAGACACTGCAGTTCTGTGATACCAGCTGTTCTTATGATATGAATGTTTTCTGTAAATACATAAATTAGGTAAACATTCAGAGGAGATAGTTCAGTTGAATGGCCATGCTAGCAAAAGAAAAATGGACATTAGCTAACTCTGGATACATTTATGTGGATAATGGGAAGCAGATTTGAAATAGAGCAATATTTTGATAGGAATAGTGAGGGCATACACGTAATTAACTAGAAAGTTGGAGTTCATTTTATTAATGATTTTATAATGTCAAGGGAATGGACTACAAAGTGGTAGGAGTAGGTCACCTCCAAGGTTTTGTCCTTGTGAATCAGCACAATTTGATTTCTGCACATAGAATGGGACTGTTCCCATCAAAAATTGGGCATCAAAGATGTAGACATTTCTGAGCTAGTTGCTCAAGGCTCTCTTTGTAACTGATGGTGTTCTAGAGTTTTCTTCTCTGGTCAATTTTGATACCTTTTTTAGGAGATGATCAATTATGCCAAAGAACAGCTTATTTCTTTCCAAAAACTACAATGAAAATCTAGATATCTGCATTGTAAAGATCCGTATTTGGTAACATCTATTCCACCCCTGTATCTTGACGCACATACCACAGAAATCACAGAAAATCTGATGTCAGTGAATGTTGAATCTGGCTTTTAATACATCAGTAAGGATCTGTCTCAATTTCTGCTTTGAAATAATCCTTGAAATATTACGATGTCTCAGAAATTATTTTCTGGTTGACTCTCTTAATTTGAAAAAGTTATTACCCTCTTGGGCAATCTCCTTGTTATTTCACTCTTGAAACTCTGCCGAGTCACAAGGATCGCAATAAAAGCTTTTGTTTGCTCAGCATGGCCTAGAGTTTATCAGAAACATGTAAGAAATTAAAGAGGAGAGGTTTTCCATATATCACGAACTGCAAACTATGCTCAGCAAAACGGCAGGATTAATCACACCTTATCAAAAAGCATTGCTGAATCAGTTGCAATTGCGTAGTATAAATGCTTAAGAATAAAAAAATTTGCACCTAACTGTAAGTAAATAGAGAAAAACTTTATCTTTAGCAAGCATCATACTTTGACACCGCTTTAATCTAGCTACAAATACAAAACTTAATAACAGTATCTAGAAGGGATGGGAGAGAGCAAACCGACAATACTCTGGACAAAATTCAGACCCCATAGAAGTTAAACGTAGTTTAACCACTGATTTCAAAATATCTGTGCTTTCATCCATTACTGTTTCCTTATGAAGCACAGCAAATCCTCACAGATGTAGAATCCACACATGGTGTTTGATTTATAGAAGTGATCACTTTGTAACATATTTTTGTAACGTATAATATATTATATAATTTTCATAACACTTCAAGATTCGCCATCAATATTGTAGGGCTCAAACTAGAAGACCTGTTTTATAACAACAAGCCTACTTCTCCTTTGGTTTATTCAAATTGCTCCATTGCAGCAATTGATATGAATGTTGTTTTGTTTTTTCCACAGTGAAAATAAGACTAGATAATAATAATAAAACATTTTCTCCAAGGTTCAAACCTACCTAATAATTAAGAGGTGTTTCTATGTGTCATTTTCGCTAGCTGATGCTTACAGATGTTTTGGCTTTGCAAATGGAACCTGTGTTGGAATGACATATTGTCTAGATGATGTCGTGTATCAAATTTACTTCATTAGCTTGCATAACTAATTTCCTTCTCTGTTTTGTATTGCTAGTGTTGTTGTGATCTTCCAGCTTTATTTTACCCAGATGGTAACCGTTGAGAAAGTAAAAAATGAGCTGGTTTTGGGTATCAACACAACTAAAACTGATCTTAGCCAGACTTTGAAAATTGATCTGAACAGCATACAAGTCACAGGTAAGGCTAGCAAATAATTTTTTCTCTATACAAATCCTTGAGTGCTACATGTAACATGAAAGGAAACTTTGGCTCCCAAACAACAAATTAATTGTTACTTATGCTCATGGATTTTCCCTGTCACAGAGGTTTCAGGAGCAGCTGAAAGAACCTTTTACAACCTTGTCAACTAGAAAGTATGAGTCAATATTGTGTATGTTCACTAAGGAGGGAGTAAAGGACAAAGTAGTGGTTTTCCTGTGAAAACCACTCAGTTTCATCTCATTCATGTAATGTAACATTTGTAATTTCATTATCCCTCCAATTAAAACAACAAATTCCCAAATATGGTGTTTTATTAGTAAATTAAATTATAATTTAATTTTGCTAAAGAATAAGGAAAAGGGCTCAGCCTCAAAGTGAATGAAGACTCATTTAGGGAAAAGATGTCAACAACAAACTGCAAACAGAGTGTGGCTACTGGACAAGTATGCCCAAGGAGCTAAATTTATATTCCTCTAAAGCTTAGGTAAAGTGTAAATAGAAAAAAAAAATATATATATAGGTCTATAAAGACTAGGCACTTTTGCATTCTGTGAATATACAAATATAGTGATTTTATGTAAGCACTAAACAATGTATCAAATCCTAAGTGGAAGCCCAAGAAGATCAGTAGGAATCCTTGTTTTTACCTCAATAAGCTTCAAAGCAGACCCTCACTGAAGGAGAGGATAAAAAGTAATTTGAATCCTTTGAAGTGGAAGCTGATTAGCTGACATTTGGACCTGATGGAGATACTATTAAGTAGCAACTGAATGCTTTAAGAGGAATGGGACATCTGGTGTACAGTGACACTTAGTCTATTCTAAAAGGTACATTATTTGCTAAGTACTTCAGATATTCAAAGGCTAAATTCAGAGTCTTGACATCTTTCTTTCTCTTTACTACTTGCACAACATATAAGAAGTTTTTCTAAGTAACTGCACATCACTGTGCAAAGTGATTGCTCATTATACTTCAAAAAAGCCACTGAAGAAAATTATGAAAAGCTTTTTAAAAGGTTGTATATCTATTGATGAACTTCAAAGTAGTCAAACATTTCTTACTGTGGATCATTAAAATGCCTCTTTTCACGGTAGATATCATCTGTCCATTCTATCAGGAGTGCTTAAATAAAATAACAACTGTAACTGATTACCAATCATAATAATGTATGGCACTTTTGCATCATATATCTCAGTACGTTCTGCACTGAAGTCTTTACTCCTATTTTGGAGAGGGAGGGAACTACATCACAGGTGTGACGTGCTTGAAATCAGAGTTTCAAAGGGATTAAAAGTAACCTTCTTTCTTGCCCATTATCCTATGCTGATTTTAACTCATCTGATCTAAATACTTTCTATAAGACACAGGTGCTCTGAAAATCTCCATAAAAGTATAAAAAGTGTCAAGACTGAGATTTCCCAGATGAACACATTTTCTATGGAAAACAGTGAATAGGGATTGAGGATTGAAAGAAATTAATATTGGCCTTTCCTCCCATAGAGTGTGAGAAAAGCCTGAGGACAGGGTGAGATGGTCAAAAGGAGGGAAGCAGGATGCTGCTAGTGATTCAAACAGAAACAGTCACAGCTGATTTTTTTTTATTGTGTTTTTTTTTTTAACCTTCTTTTCTTGGGGCTGTATAAAACCAGATACTGTGCTATAAAAGGAGTTTATAATGAACTTGCTTTCTTGCAGTAACTGCTGAAAACCTTACCACAATGATGCCTTTAACTTCATCAGGTCAGTATCTTTCATAAAATAGAAACTATTTTTTGTTACCAATACAGCATGAAGAAGTATAAGACTTTTGCTGTTCAGCTGGTATAACTTGGTAAAGCTGCCTTGGCTGCAGTTAGGGCTTGACTGCTAGGGTCTATTCAGTGATAGTGAGCCACCCCTCATTGTTTCTGAACATTTGAAAAAGCAGCAGTCTGAAGTCTGAACAAAAGCTCTAAGAACTTAGTGGGTCAAAACAAAAGTTGAGTCTCTGTCAACCAGCTGAGTCACAAGCTGATGTTTTTGTAAATTTAGGCATGTAGATGAGACTGGGGAATTCTACTTTCATGCTGTGCTTACCATCATACTGAACAATGTTGATTGATAGACTTTCTTTCTGCTATGAGCATAGGGTATGAAGCAGACGCAATTCCTTGGTCTCAGAAATTCACTGAGTACAAACCTGCTGAAAGTCAGTCAGACAACTGAATAATACAGTAGATGCTTTGTAGCACTAGAGGCAAGTAGAGTTGTCCCAGACAAGCTGCATACAAATTATCATGTACAAATTCTCCAAGACAGGGTACCAGACCAGGTACTTTGTGAAATTTATATAAGCTGAAGAAATGCACCTATGAATATAGCAGCCAATTATTTATTGATAGTCTAATTACAACCATAACAATGAAAGTTATTATTGGTCTAGTTAAAGGCCTACTAATGTGTATAGTCCAAAGTGTACAATTACTACAGCTTATTCCCAGTGATAGAGTTAAAACTGCTAACATACAAGTTTTCTCCTATCTATCCTTTCCTCTGGTATGCTATTTCAATGCTCCCCCGAGTTCTAAGTTCAATGTTGCTGATCATCTACAAGAAGAAATTGGGAGGTAGAGCGAGGTGCCAGAGGAAAGGTTAAGGGAGTTGGGAGCTGCCAGCACCCCAGACTGGAATGACAGTAATGTTCCTGGTGTGGATTCCTTCCTCCTCTTGGTCTTGGGTCTGCTTGGGGTGATTTTTGTGTGTTTGGTAACACTGTCTACTTCCTTGGTCTTTCTGTTTCAGACCAAATCCCATGATATACCCAGGTTTTAACATATGTGGTATGTTTACATCTAATAGATGTTTGGGTTTTGGCTCTGTTGGCCCTAAAACCATCCTTATCCACCTCAGTTGTTACTTTAGTGAGTTCCTGCAGTAATTGACCATTCATGGTTTGTGCTTACATCACTGATGCCTCTGTCGCTGTCCTGTGCTTTTCCTTTCACAGCTTTTGCTGTCAACTTTTGCATGCACTTTTGGGAGTGCCTGTAACCGTCCTTTTTTTTTTCCCAACAGTCTTTAAGATATAGCTTATTGATAATTGTTTTATTAGAACTGCTTGCTCATGCATGCATCCATGGTTAGGTCTTTGAATATTTCATTCCTTACAAAACAGTGGTCCTTTAGAAAATACATAGACAGTTATATAGATAGTTACACGTGTATAACACTTTGGAAACTACTATGAAGCTATGAATGAAGCTTCCTTCTCTGAACATAGCTGTGTGAGAACAGTCCATCCAGCTGCACCCTCCCTGCACCTTCTGCTGGAGTCTCCTCTTACTCTGCCAGAGGAACTGGGAGCTGGAAATGCCTGGGGTATCCTCAGCGATTGTTACTAAAAACACCACTATGTGGAAGCTCTGTTGGATCAATCACAAATAAACATTCCATTTTTCCAGAATGTTTTGCAGTGTACTATCACTAATACAAATCTATTATGTGCCTAGGCATTTGTTCATGTGTAAATATGTATACACACAGGTATGTATGCCTGCCTGTATGTAAATACCCAAATTCTGGATAGGTTTGAGGCTCTTCTCTTCACATTCCGATAACTGATTTTTTGAGCAATGTTATTTATAAGAAAATGTACCTGTATATTTTAGTACTAATATTGAAGTTGTCATAACTTGTTTTGTTTCAACAGAACCCATGAGTCGAGTCACAAGCTCCCTGACACCAACTTCATGTCAGTACTTTTACAAACCAGGGGAAGACAAGAAAACATTGCTATTATTTTAATGCTGGGGAGGGGATTTTTTTTATGTTATTGAACATGTGACTAGAGCTAATATATATATCTATATATGTATTTAAAATACACTTGAGTTCCACGTTATTTTTCTTATGCTTATTGTGACATTTGATCTTCAGGATCAAGCCACTCAAACTGGCCTTACCACATCTTTACCTAAGCTGGGGTGTGGGCATACAGCAAATAATGCAAGTATAAGAGTAGACTTATACCTGCTTAGTTCTGATTATATGCTGCTTAGTTCTGCCCAAGCAACTGCAGAGGTGGTCCTAGAGAGCAAGTAGTAAAGTTCTAACCTTGTGTTTGTTTGCCCAGCTTCAGGACGGCTCACCACAAAGAAGTTCTCAACAAGTGCAGGTAGGTAGCTGCGTATGGGAAGAAGCAGGAAGGTTATATGTAACAGTCTAGGTTGGAGTAGATGATCTCTGAAGATCCTTCTAACCCAAACCACTCTGAGTCTGAGATCTTAGAATCACACTGTTTGCATACAGCCTGTTCTTGAATCCTTCCGTTCTCACGTCCTGTTCCTACAAATACACGATATGTGGGTTTGGCTTTAAGTTGGCTAAGGAGATCTCTTCAAAGACTCCCAAGACTGTACATGCTACAAAACTGGTATATGTTTTGTGTATATTGATACTCATACTGACTGCTTAGTTTTATTTCCTATTATTTCTTGGAGCTTATGGGGGAAAAAAAAAATTTACAGGACTTCCAATGAATAGAAAGCCAAGCCATCTGAATCTTTGAAATCCTGCCCTATCCTTATTAAACGTTGAAATATGTATGGCATTTGTAACAATTTTCAAATGGGTCTAATATATTTACTGCCATTTTTTAGTTGTGTATAGCAATTATATTGCAACGTAGGGCAATTTGCTTTTACTAGAAAATGTTAATTTCTTTCTGTCCAGTAGGTGGCAATGCTGTTTAGTTTTCAGAGCTGAAGAACAAAAATTAGACTTGATCATGTCGTATGTAAACGTAAAATGTTTTCTTGCATATTGGGCTTGTGCAAAAGATATTCCTAGACTACTGGCTGAGGTTTTGTTCTGGGTTTAGAATGCACGGTTTTGTCTCAGTTCATCTGTGACCATTTATTGGCACTGTATCACCTCTACCACTTGGCTGAAGTATGTTTGGTTTGCTTCAATTACTGGTTGGTGCAAAATGGCAGCTCTTTTGCTTTACACTGTCTGCATTGCTGACACTGAAAGTGTGTTGTAAAGCACTTTGAAATGCTACAGTACCTCCAAATCAACGTCCAGCTTTGTCACTAACACTGATATCATACAATAAAACATCATACAAGCATTTACTTAATCTGATTACAGAACTAACAGTTTTATGAAAAAATAGATCGAGCAATAATGGTTAGAGACTGGAATGTCAGTTTAACAGAGGAATATTAGATCAGTTTTACAAATTAATGTTTCTCCTTCTTGCATAAGAATTTTTGACCTTTTCCAATGAACATTTACTGAATTAAAGTAACTATATGAATAGTGCTAGGTGAATAGTTTACATAGAATTGAATATAATTTCAGCTTCATGTTTTTATTCGCTTTGGTACAACCCACTTGAATTCTATAGATTTCTAAGAGCAAAACCATCTAAAGACCAACACAGAAAGTTTGCAGCGGATGAACATTTTCACTGTAAGAGAATACTGTTAGTGTTATTCCAGATTTAAGGATCTGCCCATACATTCTTTTTGCAGAAATTTTCTCTTTAATTTGCAAATCTGAAAAGAATAGGATTTCTGATATTCCTGGTATTTCAAAATCCAATCTTAAAGATTTAATTTTCAAGATATCATGTTTAATTAAAAAAAGAAATCTTCATCTTGATGAAATGCAACATGGTGATGTGTTGAAGAAATTAAAAGCAGAAATTTTTCACAATTATTTAAGCCAGAGTACAGTTTTCTCATGTTACTCAAGCATAAGAAATTGGAAAATGTTATTTAAAGTAGTTTATTTGGGCATTAGAAGGAAATGGGAATTCATGGAAATTTTATTCCAGCCTTACAAGCTCAGTTTCAAAAAGTCTCACTTCTGAGAACCTCCTTCCTTCTGTGCCAGATTTGTCTGTTTAGTATATGCTGTTTCTGTTTCATTTCAGACTTCTAAAAATGCAGTTTTGCAAAACACAGTAGAGTGGTTGATTTGATTTGTGCTAGAGTAACCAGACATAAGTCAATTTTCTTTTGTAGTGAAAGTGCATTACTGCTGTGCTGTTATTGCTGTTGTCCTTATTATTTCAGCTCAGTGTTTGCCAACTGCTGAACTTTGTGATGATGGTGTAACCTGCATTAGAAAAGATTTATTTTGTGATGGAGTCTTGGACTGCCTGGATGGGTCAGATGAATCTGAAAAAAGATGTGGTAAGAATGTAGATCCCTGGAAATAAGTCTTTTTAAACATACTTAAACCTGTCAGTAGTTTGTAAATAGTTTATAGGCAATAAACTGCACAGTGAAATCCAAATCAATTCTACTAAAACTACTGACAAGAATGATTGTCATAATCTTTATCTTGTAAATGGAAACAACTTTATTTAAAATTCTTGTTAATGAAGAAATTAATTATTAATGAAGAAATATTATAATCTAACTGTAAATTGTTTGCTACATAAATATTAAAAACATGAGAACATAATTAAATTCTGAAATATTGTAGAAATTTCTTATGAAATTATGTACCAGTAATATCAAATAATGTTATTTCCAAATAAATTAAAATTATGAACCTATACAGCTATAAAGTCACGTTACCTATTATCAGAAACCACCTAATGGGACATCTGGAATCAGAAGAGAGGTTTCTCTTTTGATTCCAGCATTAAGAATATCACACAAAAAACTACAAAGAGCTTTTCCCAGGGTACAGGGTATGCTCAGATACACGATATTTTACATTCAGCTACTTAGATGGGGCTGAGGGAGAGGGCACTGGTAGTATTTTGCAGCCAGGGCAAGCAAGTGTGACTGCTGCCATGGCAGGATGGAGCTCTGGCAGGACTTCTGGTTTTTGGCCACCCACCTGCATCTTGCTACACTGAGTACTTGGAATGGGATTGTCTGTATGACATGGACACAAATATTTGAGTTGCAGGCACCAGAATGAGAGGTGCAAGACGAAGATGTGAAAATAAGGGCAACTGGCTCTAGGTGGCCCTGCTTGAGTAGGGGCGTTGGACCAGATGACCTCCAGAGCTGCCCTCCAACTTCTACCCTTCTGTGATTCTGTGAAAATTCTACAAACCTGAAACCTGCCTTTATCTGTCTGCCTAGTTTCCCTGAGCACCTTTTTGTGCAGAGCAGCCTCTGCTCCAGGTAGCAGTGAACACTGTGAAATTGTACCCAGGAGTTTAAGTTGCTGCTTACCAAAGTGTGTGTGCAGAGTTTGGTAGGGAGGCATGCTTCTTAAGGTTTTTTGCACTGTCAGCTCTCAGTTAAAAGTCTGTAAAGTTTTCTTGCAAAGAGAACTTTGCAAAAATTTTTTAAGTTGGAGCAATTAACTCCCTTAGTGTTTTGTTTGTTTTTTAAATATAGAATTTGGTGCTAGAAATCTGGAAAGCTTATTTCCCTTCTGCTCTGAAAACATCTTCTGAGCTTTCCTGAGAATGTTGAGGGCAGTCAGGTCTGAGCTTTCAGAAACACGTAAAAAGCTGGGCTCTGGCTTAAAATCAAATAAGCAAGTAAAAGAGCAATTTCTTTTAAAAAATCTGCAAGTCTGATTCTGAAGGCTGCTGACATGCTGGCCCCTTCTGCCAGAAGTGGAATTTTCTTCAGGAAAAAGAAAGTGAATTGCAGACCTACCCATTACCTGCATTTTTCTCAGTTCAGCCAACTCAGGAGATTTTTAGAACTTTTGGGGGAAAATATCCATCAAAATACTTCAGAAGAATATCCACTGAAATATTTCCAAATGCCTGTTTAGCATAGCAGCTGCATCTAGCTAGATCATAATAACGATGGGTTCTGTGCAGGTCCTGCTGTAGCTGAGGAAATCGGAGGGTCCTAAAGTAGGCCTACCTAGAACTTTGTTCCACTGCAAGCATCCAAGTAGCATAACCCCAAAGCTCTACTTAGTCATTCATTTCTACCATCATACTGTTGTTTTGAGACATGGATTTTCTTTAGGGTTAGTTGTTTGGGTTCATTTATTTTATTTTAAATAGAGCTAAATAAAAAAGTGCAGATCCTTTTAGTTAAAAAGTACCATTATACATCTCATCAAAATAAATTATTTTTATTTACCATGAATTATTAGGTCTGAGTTTACAAGTTTTGCTCACATTTTATTAAAGATATTACTGTCAGACCTGTTATATAGGGCAGAATTCAATTGATATTGATACATTGGTAGATACAGACAAAAATAAGCTCACTGTTTGCAGTCAAAGCTATGTAAACATCACTCAGCTGTGCCCTGGAGGCTGCACAATGTTTTAAGTTAGAAAATGGGCTTGAATAGAATTTTTCAACTGACGCATAGCCCCTTATACTCATGGGTATTGGATCTCATTTTGATCTCTCCCTGAATTTCTACTGAATATGTTGTGAATGCCCTGCTCCTTTGTAACTGATATTATTTCCTAATCAATGTTTTAAGAGTCACTAAAGAATATGCACAACTGAGCTGCAAATTTCAGAGATGTGCATATAAGTAAAAATAGGCAGAATGTCCACTTCAGGCAGATGATTTTCCCCTGTTCATTTCCACTGATGCCTGGTATTTCCAAGAAATTCATTCAGTTACCATTAGTTCAGCAATGTCAGCTCATAACCTTATAGAAATACAATTCTGGCTGGAGGACAAATCATTGCTCCATCACTCTTAGGTTACATTTTCAGTCTTAAAATTTTCCATCCAAAAACTCAGAGATTTTCTACATGTACATATTTAGGTTTCTTAGACTTTGCAAAACCAGTGGAATGAGTGGCAATAAGCCATGTGCACGTTTGGGATACCTGCCAATTTTTCCATGTCTTTGATTTTTCACTTATGTCCCATCCCTAGAGTAACTTAATACAGTCATATAAAAGCTAAAATTGTCCAGATTTTCAGAAGTGCTTTAATGTTCCACGATGAGATTTACAGCCAATTCATAATTTGTGCTACAAATGCTCTTACACACAATGGAGTTCCTGCCCTTTAAACAACTTGCTTTGTTTTTTTCATCTTGATTATTATTTCCTCTAGTACTTCTGATTTTAGAATATGTTAGTGGTGTTAATATATAGGATATGAGGGTGAATTTTAATAATCTTTTCCTGCATTAGAAGTCAGTTAAATCTCAGATATTTAGCAGAGATTCAGGTAACTAAACACGATCTTTTTTTTTTGTTTTGTTTTATTGATTAAAATTATTTGGGCGGCTTCCTTCTGCCTCTGCAATGCAGTGCAGTAACAAAAGGCATTGCAAAAGTGCAGTTAGCAGTTTCAATGAAAGGGTCTCTAGACAAATGGGAAAGTCTGAACAACATCTATTAATAATGGCTGCTTTTCAGTAATGCCAGACATGTGACATGTAAGGGTAAGGCAGGGAAGGCTGGAGGCTGACCCCAGGAGGTGTTTCTCTCTGCAGACTCCCTTTGCAGTTATGTCTAGGCTAATGTTTTCTGATTACCTACCTCACAGCATCACTACAGTACTGAGAAAGATTAATCATATGTAAGCCAGGAAGTAATTTACTGCCCTTGGCACAGAATGGTCCTGTCAAGTAAAATATGTGGGCTTGATCTGGGCAGTCTGGGGAGCTTCTCCCTGCAATTCAAGGATAACAGGGTTAACCCCTCCCCATGTGCCCTGTATACAACATAAGTAAATAGATATGGACAGTGAGATGTGTGTTGGGGAAGAAGTGAAAGTGGTTCCTACAAAAGATGTCTCACATCTCATTGGGAGAACAACTGAGGCTTCTCTGAGGGCTCCGGGGGGGCAGAAACGTAATGGTTTCTGTGCCCCTGCCTGCCTTTGTCCACAGCTGCCTCCTCCCTGCAACAAGGAAACACTGGGTGGTTCTTCAGGGAAATAGGACCAGTCTCAACTATCTTCCTGCTCATACCTGAGATACTGAGCACTGACTATTGCTACGCTGTGTATGAGCTCCCTGAGGACATCTGCCTGAATCTTTCTGTTCTGTTTCAAGTTACTCTTTCTTAAGAGATAAGAAGAAACAAATAAAAGGAAACAAGAACAGAAACTAATTGTTGACAAGAGTAAACTTCTGTTATAAATTTTATTAGAACAGTACTCTATATCTCTTTTTATTACTGCCAGTGCTATAAACTCCTTTTTAGATCAGGATGTGTCTTGCTAACCACTAGTTAACTGTACTACTTTTTGCACACTTCATGAATAACAAGCTGGGCATTTTCCTTCTCACAATGATTTTATTCTTCTCAGTGGGAAATGGTTATAAATATTAGGCACTGGTTAAGGACAGGAAACGCATAAAATGGATAGAAAAAGTACTTCTATGCCAATACTCAGCTCTAAGGATGTAGCCTATTCTGACAAAAATGTTATACAGAATAGTAACTCTTTCATGGACCTTTTTTCGCTGTGTATTTAAAAACTTTTATGTTCTGTTTTCCTTTCAAAGGCAATGAAGATTGTAAAAGGGAATATGTTTCTATTCCAGCCAATGCATTAGACATATCATTAGTGAAGTTAATTCTGCACAGTCTTATTAACATTGCATGCCTGAGCCTGACTGAAGCAAAACTTAAGTTTTATGTTGTGTTTACTACAGTGGTAGTTAGAAAGAATTTTACACTTACAAAATGAACAGAAAAGGAATGCAAATTTATCATTTTACATACCATTTCCCAGAGGAGGAATATGCTCAATAAAACTTCCATTTAATTTTCAATATGATTGATCGTTCATAATTTAGTTAGTCATTGTAGGTATGATTTGATTTCTGATGTTAATGAAAAGCTCTGTCTAATTTCTGATTATGTGCCTCAAATTGATGAACTTGTCCTTAGCTCTCACGATAATCATGTATGGTACTGATTTTATCCTTATTTGAAAGCTCTATGATGCTTTCTGAAAAACTGAACAGAAACATCAGACAGATTCCTAACATAATGTTCAAGAGATGCAGCAAAGGCTTCAACAGTGCTTCAGTGTCTGCTGAAATAAAACAGCTCTACATATATTAGTTTTTCCAAGCGTGCTGATGCTTAATACTATATTTTCTTTAAATAACTGATTTTTAAACTGAAGAACATACATAGAATGGAATAGCAGGACTAAGAAAACAAAACTAATAAAAGCTTTTTAAAAGTATTTATGATGGTGGATGACATTTACTTCAGAGAATGAATTCGATAGCTGGCAGGAAACTTGGGATATCCACTTATCTTTTTGAGTACTTAGTAATATATAAGGTGAGAAACTAGAAAGTTCATAAAAGTAGAGATAGTGATAGGCAACTGTATCCCTTGCTTTTATTCACATGATATCAAATTGTTTCTGGTAGTACAAACACAGTTTCCAGAGTAGCTGTAGATAAGATGCTGTAGCTGTAGATAAGATCCTGTTTCCTTAAAAATGTATAACATAAAATGAAAGAACAGAACTGGATTAGTTGAATCTGCTGGACTTGAATTATATGGATAGGTTTGAGCAAGTTTGGATTATTTGGATTTTCTATACTTTAAAAGTGAAATATCTCTACTGCATTTCTTCTCATATAGCACTTTGACATCAAATAGTTATCAGAATGAGAAGTAAGAGTAAGTTGGTAATCTGTTTTACTTTGTCATCCTGTTGTTGCTTACAAAGCATTTCAAAGGTAATCCATGTAACCCAGTGTCTAAGATCGCCTCATTTTGGCTCAGATTCTGTTTTCCAAATGCAATTTTGACAAATGTTATTCATTATATCTTTACAGCTGCAGTATGTGATGGAAAATTTATGTTGACTGAATCCTCTGGGTTTTTTCATTCTGCGAATTATCCAAAACCATATAATGCAAATATTATTTGCCAATGGATTATACTGTAAGTCCTTTTTTCTACATACCTTTTTTTTAATTTTATTTTTAGGTGATTTTTTTTCCTGCATATCAACCTTATGCCATTTGTTTGTAGTCCCAAATACCCCAGCATGGAAAATATATAATAGCATTTTCTCCTTTGTATTTATGTAACTTATCTTAAACTTGCACGCTTAAAACCCAGAACTGTATCAATGATTTCCCACTTACAAAAATTTGAAGGTATAATTTTGAGAAATATTGTGTATTATATGCATGCACAGGAACATATTCGTAAGCTCAAAATAAATCACATAACTCAAAATAATTGCAAGATATTTGTTTCAAAACATTAAATACTAGACTTTAAGTAACGGTTTTGTATGATATAACTAACAGTCGGAATTTTCAAGAATTCCCTCGTAGTTTATGGGTACACATTTCATGCGGGAGTTTACAGCACCTCTGCTTCTAAGTCATTTAGGAATAAGTTTTAAAAATGCATGAGTTATCATTTGACATAATAGCACCAAATGGCTTTTAAGAGCTAGGAACAAGAAGTGGAATTTGTTTGATCAGGTATACATGCCTACAGGGAGGGACAGGTATTTGACAGATGGTCTAGGTCCACTTCATAGGTCATGGAGAAGAAAAGACAGCCATAGTATGTGATAAATCTCATCCTAAGGTACACATCTAACATAGGTTAGATGATTGCAAGTTGGAAGCTCCTAAACATTCCTACAATGACTGCCAATTCAGAAGTTACTGCTTTGAAAGGAGGTAATTCTTATTATGGCTTTGTAATAATGGCTGTGCTTTGATTCTGAGAATTATTAATTTGGTAAAAGAGTTTCAAAGGAGATTAAGGGAATGCCTTTAAAATTGCATAAACTTTGTACTTCTCATTTCCATGGCTCCTCTGAGTTTTTTCAGGACTTCAGGAAAATTCATGGTTTTCTCTTTGTTTATTACATTTGTTCCTTCTCATCTTCAGCAATACTATTCACCAATAATCGCTGGCTACACCTGGTTTTAACATATAGGTGTGCCACAGGAGAAGCACAAGATTGTATCATTCAGTATATAAGCCTGACTTGTTCCTCAGTTCAAGGTATCACAGAATTTGAGCATGATAAATAACGATTTCTCAAGTGCGCTGCTTAATTCTAAGCTGTTAATTTTGCTTCAAACACTGCTATAGCTGCAAGAAGCATTGTATTAGGTAGAGAGCTATACCAGGTATGTAGCTAACAAAACCTTAATTTTTGAAAGAAACCTGAGTAATTGCATATAATATAGTACAGGTGCTGCAGATCCATGTAATTACAGGTTGATCAATCACAATTGATCTGGTTTTATTTTCCAGTTATCTGTTTTTAAAAAAACTGTCAACACTGGCAGTAAAGGCCTGAAAAATTCAATGCAGTACTCAAATTTTATCTCCCTTTCAAACAGAATTGTTTGTATGAGGTTATCTTTTGGGTTATCCAGTAACCAATGAGTGACATTTTGTCCTAATATTTTTATTATGCCTATAAAAATTTTTTTAAAGTCACCCTATAATATATCTAAGATTTGATTTCTCTTTTACTTTCTTAGTCTTGAAAGATTTCTCCATTGCCTTTAGGAAAAACGTTTACATTTTCACTCTGTTTAACTCCTTCCCAAATGAAGATGTATTTTCTCTCCTTTAAAAGTAAGCATAGTATGTTTAATATTTCCCTGAAAGATTATCTTTCAACTGCATGTTTATTCTTTTCAAACTAAGGATATTTTTTCTCAATATAACAACAATGAAAGAAAAAAGCAAATGCAAATATTCAAATATTTACTTCATGCTTCTCTACTAATTGGTACTCATAAGCACCAGCAGATTTTGGTTGAAAAACTGTCTACATTGGGTCTCTCAACTCCAGAAAACAACGAACTAGAGGCATAGGAATCTAAGCTGATTGCATTAGGGTTTTACAATTTGGACTACTGTGTATGTTCATGGGAAAGGCAATGGGAGAACTACTTAAATGTAGATTATTGAAAGAACGTAACAGCAGAAAAATAAAACCCAGCATTTCTTACACTTTTAGTTAAGTGACTGTTCTTAAACTAACTGGGTGATCATTAGGTTTGACAAGTTCCCAAACAAGGAACAAATCTCCATGCAAATCCTGGTCTTGATATAGGAGACTTTATTTTGGACTTTTGAGGAGACAGATTTTGCTATCTTTCTATTCATACTGATACCATGATACCATTGCTCTGACCTTAGGAAGCCTACCTGAGCAGTGAGATGTTATCTATTAGTAAAATGTATTAAAAAGTAACTGTAAATTAATGATATGCAGATAAAAATAAACACAAAAGACCTGTTCAGCAGAATATCATAGTCCAAATTTTAGAAGATTCAGTTCCTGACATATACTTAACTCCAATGTGTAAAGGAGTATTTCTGAAGTTATGAAACATTCATGGCCTACTGCTTTGGTAATTTTACAAACTAGAAGTTAGCCAAATAGGCCATCTTGATTAACGTAATTTCACGTTGTTTCAGAACTTAACATAATTCAAGTTTGCAATCAATTCACTACAGTCAAAAAAAAAAAATTACTAGAACATAACTTGCAGTTTTGATGTTTATTTTTCTCTTGATATCTTAGAGTGCCTCAGGGGCTATCCATTAAACTGAACTTCACTTCTTTTGAAACACAACAGTATACTGACAATTTAAATATTTTTGAAGGTATTGGACAAAACAAGATTTTAAGAGGTAAGCTTATTTTCAGCTAATATTACCTTTCCATTAATAAATTTAAGTAGTGAAATAGGTGTTTTCAAGTGAAAAAAAATTCAGGTATATGGTTAACTGAGAGAAGGCATCTGTGTTAACTTCTTAGACAATTGACCTTGATGTATGTGACTATTCTTATGAAGTGATCAGATAAAAGCTTCCCCAATAGCTATACCTTTTTTTTAAGATCTTATTTGAACAATTTTGATAATTTGACCAAAGCCATGGTCTTGTGGGGTCCATGTTTCATTAGAAATACGTTGTCAGAAAATCCTGTAACATCACATAGTAACATAAAAGGAAAGCATCTAAACTGAAACTGTTGGGCAAAGTACTATGATACTCCCTAAAATTCATTACCAGTATAGCATTGCTTTCCTCAGACTTTGAAATACTGATGACACCTTAATCTCTGTCTCTATATTCTATAGTGGAAAACTGAGATTTTACCCATTTTACACAAGACTCAGTCTATCCAGCTGAATTCCATCAGAGGTGGAATACATACAGTTGAAGATAAATATATAGAGATAAGATACTTTTTTTTTTTTTTTTGGAAGATGAGAGAGAATGAGAAATAGTAAAAGACTCATAAAAAATGGAGAAATTCTACCCTTTCAGTACTGCTTTGAATTTGACCCCCCTTGGGAATTTCAATTTAGATGTGAGAGATTGCTTCAATAATATCCTTTGCAGCATCCATGAACTTACACCTTATCAAGGACTGCTGTGGGGATGACCAGTGATACCACAAAGACAATGTTAAAGACTTGTTCTTCAGTGGATTGCCTAAAACTTTGCAATTTGAGGGGTAGATTTCCAGGTATTGGAAATACTAAATGTACAGGAAAGGACTACAAGACATTTACAGATTAAGACTCTCCACTTAAGTAAAAGAATCTGAAAAGGACGAAGGAAAATAACACACATATAATTAAAAGTATGGAAGATGATGCCCATTATCTTAATAATTTGGCATTCTTTCAAATATATAGTATCACAAATAGCTAAATAGAATCATAGAATGGTTTGGGTTGGAAGGGACCTTAAATATCATCTAGTTCCAACCCCCCTGCCATGGGCAGGGACACCCTCCACTAGACCAGGTTGCTCAAAGCCTCATCCAGCCTGGCCTTGAACACTTCCAGGAATGGGGCATCCACAGCTTCTCTGGGCAACCTGTTCCAGTGCCTCACCACGCTCTCCGGGAAGAACTTCTTCCCAATATCCAATCTAAATCTCTCGACTTTCAATTTAAACCCGTTACCCCTTGTCCTGTCACTACAGGCCCTTGTAAAAAGTCCCTCCCCCAGCTTCCTTGTAGGCCCCTTCAGGTACTGGCCCCTTCTCTCCGCCAGGCTAAACAAGCCAAATTCTCTCAGCCTTTCATCATAAGAGAGGTGCTCCAGCCCTCTGATCATCTTCATGGCCTCCTCTGGACTCGTTCCAGCTGGTCTATATCCTCCTTCTGTTGAGGGCTCCACAGCTGGATGCAGTACTCCAGGTGGGGTCTCACAAGAGCAGAGTAGAGGGGGAGACAAGGTCCCTTGACCTGCTGGCCACACTCCTCTGGATATAGCCCAGGATACGGTTGGCTTTCTGGGCTGCCAGTGCACACTGCCGGCTCATGTTCAGCTTTTTGTCCAACAAAATACCTCTTCCTGAGAAAAGCAAAGTCTCTCTATCTGTGCAAGATTGGGCAAGGACTTCAGAAAAGAAAAAGCGGAGGCAAAAACTTTCACAGAACAATGAGGAATTCAGGATTTATTTTATCCTGAATATGGTCACTGGTCTAACTGTTGTTGCCTGGCATCATATCAGCTTTAGATGGAGGAGCAACTGGTTTACTGTCTGATGACTTGTACCTCTCATTTCACACATACGGGAATTATCTGAGTGAATTTAAATTAATTTATAATTCAAAGTCAAAAATTAGATACATTTTACCATTCAGTCATAGAACTGCCCAGGTTGGGAAGGGACCTTGAACGATCCTCTGGTTCAACATTTCACGGAAAAGGGAGCCTAGATGAGATTATCTAGCACTCTGTCCAGTCACTTTTGGAACATTGCAATTGTTCCTGTGCTACATGCCTTCATGCATACATCACAAAATGAAATTCCTATGCAATTTCACAGTTTCCTTAGTCTGAATATCTGCAAGTGTATGTGCTAATTGTTAAACTGGGAAGTATATATAACAAAGCTGTGTAATCAATACTGTGATTCTAGAGTTTCAGAGTGCATCTCTGTAAATTTTGAGAGCATTTACAACATAATAAGCAGAGATACAAAGATTATAGTGTTGAATATGTGTACTCTAAGAGACATGTCTCCAATAGATGATATCCATATTGATGGATATGAGAGATGGGATATGCAGAATATTTATATAGCAGCCAAACAGCTAAATGCCTTCAGGATTTTGAAGCTATTGTAGGCTTGATCACAGTACAAGAGGGAAAGCATTCTGCAAGACTCAAAAAGCTAATCCACTGTATTTTTGTGACACACTAGGGACTTTAATGTACATGGGATGGTTTCCTCTCTGACTATATTATTCTCTATTTGTTCTCAGCTTCTCTTTCAGGGACTCATCCTGGCACAATTTACATTTTTTCTCATGAGGCTACAGCACAGTTTATATCCGATTATTCTGAAAATTACAGTGGCTTTAATGCAACATACACTACATTTAATGCAAATGAACTAAACAGTAAGTGCTCTTTTTGTATGTGTGTGTGTCTGTTACCCTGAAAATTTGGTGAAACTATATTTTTGGTTTGACAAAATGGAGATGAAAAGGGAAGCAGTATTTTCTGACCTCAGTTCACTAACAAGATCCATTTTGAGAAATTTCATACTGTTTTAAAAATTGAGTCATTGATTTTAGTAAGACTGTTCACAGGTTTACAGGCCTGTATCTAGCAGTAGGGGGATGCACAGCACTTATCTTCTGAGCATTTGGGTCTGGTGGTGAGCCACTTCAGCCAGAACAATCCATGCCTTGACAAAGAAAAGAGGAAAAGATCAGGGTTAGCCCTTGGTGTTAGCTATGCAAGATGTCCTTTCTCATTCACCCACCACATTACTGGTGAAGGTTCAAATAAGAAGGTTGATGAGTAAGTGCAAGGACATGTAGGGCCACCTTCAGTGATAGCGTTTTGTTAACAAGCACAAGTGACATATTTATTTGAGTTGCATTGCACAGAAGAGTAAATTGAGTCACCATGGGCTCCAGTTTTCAAACATTAAAAAATTTACATTGTTCATCATTCATTCTCATGTAATTCTGAGAAAACATTTATGTCTCTTTCATTTTTATTTACTAGACGTTCTTATTCACAGATTATGAGAAAGTCAGTTGCACTTTCGAAGATGGCTTTTGTTACTGGATACAAGATTTAGATGATGATTCAGACTGGGAGAGAGTTCAGGGCCCTACCTTTCCTTTTATGAGTGGTCCTGATTTTGATCATACATTTGGCAACATGTCAGGTAAGATGAAATACAAGTTGCTTAAAGATTAAAGGGAAAGCTTGATTTAGTTTATGTTATACCACTGTACAATGGATTCTTCAGAGTGGTATTATTGGTATGCAGTTTTATTCTGCCATAAAAATGAGTCAGGGCTACCAGACAAAATGTTTTATGCTACCAATTGCCATCTTACAGAAATACACCAAAACTAAAAAAAAGAAATAAAGGTGATTAATAAAGTGATTCCAGTGTGAGGTATTGAAAAGTCTCAATGTTATTAATATGTCAGTGCATCATCTGAGAAAAAAAAAATATTATGCAAGAGTGTTATAGGTCAAATAACTGCATGTTTACCGTAAGGATAAAAAACAAGTACAGTTACGTTTTAGGGAAACCACTTCTGTTTCATCCCTATCTACTGTTGACATCCTTGTGGTTGCAACTGCTGTAGCAAAACAATGTAATTGGAAGAGTGATCTTATCAAATATGGGTTTTAATTAAAAAGACAATACTGAGAGGAATCAGATTTTGAATGTGTATCATGAATGCTTCTCCCAGAATTAGACTCCAATTTTTTTTTCCTACTTCAACAGGAAAACCAATCTCTTTCTCAACTCATCTGTCAGTCCAGATAAAATTAACAGTTGACAGTTGGACTCAATTATCTTACAGGCATTTTTAAACCAGAACAATTATTATTCTAACATAATTTCAATTTTACAATAGTTATATGTATTCTATACAAGACTTAATTTTTGCTGAATGAGTTCTGTATAACTGGAAAAACTACAAATTATTCCAGAAGAAGTTTCTCCCAGGAAAAGAAAAATATTTAGCATGCTATTGGCTAGAAATTATTCACCTCTCTCTGAGTAAATGCACATTTTTTAAAGAATCTTCACGATGCTTTTTTTCTCCCTACTTGGCTGTTAGAATTCAAATCAGATGAAAGAACGTAAAAATTTTTTAATGTTTCAAAACACTTGATAATAGTTTCTAGCTCTCTTGAAAGTGCTAATTTATTTTAGGAGCTCTCTGTTTCACTGTGCTAGATCTAAGCTGACACATGTAATGTTGCTATATATAATGTTGCTATTATTGAATATTCAAATTTCTACAAGCTGCATTTGAAGAAAGAAATGTGAGCTGTATCATTAATATCTAGCTATTTACATTCACTGAGACAGTGTATTTTTATTTTGCTGTTCTTGAAAAGCAAAAAACTTAATACATACTCAAGAATTGATCCTGAATTCAGCCCTCAGAGAATTGAAACAGAGTCCTGTCACTTTGATTACATGAAGATCTCTTCTGAAAAAGAATGTTATTCTCATTTTATTAAAGCTAGACACCAAGTTTTATTTTGATGCACGCTTTCTAAGTCATCACAGGAAAAGAAAGGTCTGATTTAGATTTCAAAGTAATTTTCAGGTACTTTAACATCCCACATAAAAGAACTAGCTAATCTAGAAGCATAAATAACAGAATACAATGTGTGTAGATAGATATATATATAATTCAAATGGCATAATTATGTTTATGCTTATTTGTAGACTTCATTAATTTTACATTTGCATATATATGTATTAGATAGAAATAATAAAATCTAAGATTAGAGCCATAATTTCAGTAAAGTATTATGTTTAGGACTTCTAAGTCTGCCCAATTTTTTCTTGTTACAAATCACAATGTTTCTGCAGCCTAGCCTTACATTATATTTTCACAAGGAAGCAAGAAGTCCAAATTTCCAGCTGCAAAGAATTAACTCAAAAAGCTAAAAAACAATTTCCCCAAATAATGTATTTTTCTTGTTTATAATGTTTCACCTCGCTATAAAATAACCATGTAGTCATTCTGTCACGCCACGCAACGTGCAACCCGTATTTGTCATTATTATGTGGATACAAATTATAAAAATATCAGGAAATTCTCCTGCAAAATCACAAGTAACATCAAAGAGGAAGACATTTTTATAAGTAGAAATTGCTCCGTTGACTCACTGCCTTCACTAAATAAAACGCAGATCTTCCACTGACTTCAAAAGGACTAGTTTCCCATTTCATGTTTACTTCTAAGGAGTATCAAACAATCTTAAAAGCTCATTTTAATATGACATTGACTGATTAATATAACTTGGGATAATCATTCACACTGTTGTGTCAGAAGTCTTCGAAGTCATGCAACACAATCTGTGCTTGACATAATTGATATTAGGTAAAAACTCTCATTAAAAAAAAAAACACCTCAGTAATTGTGTACTGACTAAAATGTGCTCTTTATCTTGCAGGATTTTATATTTCAACTCCCATAGGACTTGGGTTTGGAGAAGAAAGAGTCCGGATTCTTAGTTTGCCTTTGGTCTCGTCTGATTCATCTTGTCTAAGCTTCTGGTATTCTTACATAATTCCTAAACCTGTACTTTGTTTAAGAATAAAACCAAATAGTGTTTTTTTCATGTATAATACTAATCCAAGTCAGTGTGCCATCAATACAAGCCTGCTTCTGTTTGGTTTTCTACAATCCATCTCAACTCCAGACTTGAAACTTTGACTCTGTTGTAGGTTTGATACTTCCAGTCAACTTTAATGTATTTTCTTTTCCACTATGCATCCAAAACTCATTTGCATACAGAAATCATACTAAGTAACCCTGAAATGTTTTTTCTCATGAAGCTTAACTAGGTCTCTGCAGAAAATACAGTGATGTACAGAGTAAAATTTCCAGGTATAATCTAAACATGATTCATTTTATTTTCATGCTCAGTTCAAATTAGTCGTAATAATATAAACCCATTCTATATAATATAGGTAGCTTATTATATTATAAAATATATAAGCAACATATATTATTTAATAATTATATACTTAGTAATTTTTATACTTATTATTTGAATCACATATTGTTTAATTATTGCATTACTGTTTATTGTTATTATCATATTATTATAGTTATAATAGATAATATGATATAAAAACCTTGATATTTTGAAATGAAATTTCACTTTATTCTAATATTGCCAAAACTGCATTTTCTCCTCTAGGTATTTCATGTACAGTACTAATGTTTACCGTTTAAGAGTTAGTATAAGAAATGAGGATGGTTTGGAAAAGATAATTTTCCAGAAAGAAGGAAACTATGGAAACAACTGGAATTATGGACAAGTAACTTTAAATGAAACATCTGATTTTAAGGTTTGTTAAACTGCTAGTTCTTTTTAAAATTTATTTTAGCTAAACTGATATCAGGGTTTTCTTCTGCATTAACCCAATGATCCACAGTTTGAAAGATAGTATCTAGTACTACTTACTTAGTAACACATGCCATCAAATTAATTTTAGCATGCAGAAGAGTGTAATCCCCATTTTATTTGTCATCTCCCCCCTTCCCTACTCTGGAATTTAAAGTAGTATTATTGTAGAAATCAGAAAATATTAACGTTTTCATGGGACAATCAATGTTATCCCAAAAGACAGCTTTCCACAAAAGAAGGGTGTTCAAAGCCTATCAAAATCTGATGTGGAGTTTAAAATCTTGACAGTGAGTGTGATATGAAGCACTTAGCTATGCAGATTCTGAAGCAGTATTTTCACTAACTGGGAAATAATTCACTGAAAGTGTGTTCCAGACACTAATGTATTTGGTGCCACATGGTTAGCAACTGACCTGACTTATCTGTGGAAAAAAAAAAAAAAAGACCACTTAAGCTAGACAATTCCTTCAGCAAATCTCTATTCAAAACAATTTCTTTTTATAGGTATTTGGGATGGGCTGTCCTGCTATAACAGTTTTGATTGATGGAAAAACACTGCCAGAAAGACGCATTTACTATCTGAGAAAGTAAATGCATTTTTGACCTGGCTGAATCAGATTTCCAGCAAATGTGTGCTTTATGATCTCAGGAAGAGCACTATACCTATCTGTATTTGACCAGCACAAATTCCTTGGTAGCAGGATTACTTTAAATATGTGGATATTAAAGCAAAATAATAAATAAATTACATTAATTTAAATTTTTCATGGATATATGCCATTAGATTAGAAAAAATTTAGACTGATGTGTGATACAGAATTTGCGTTTCAAAAAATATATGTATTTATATGTAAAAAGTCAAGTTATTGAATAGTATTAAATCATGTTCATCATTTGTATGAAGAAGGACTTGCATTCCTTAGAATGATCCACTCAGTTTGCATAACGATGTTTTGTTTTGTGAGGAATCCTGTCTCATCTCTGATGCCATTCCATGAGTGTAGCACCAGTGTAGGTTATAGTCAAAATAAAAGCATTCAAGAAAGAAGACAATGGTTCAACACAGGAAGTTGAAAAATGTTTCGTTAAATTATGAAATTCTAATTTTTTTCTTTCATGAACTTCAGGTTATTTTTGATGCCTTTAAAAAGCATGGTCACAGTGATATTGCCTTGGATGACATTGGCCTGACAAAGGGAAAGTGTAATGAAAGTATTTATGTAGATCCAACTGTGATTCCAGCTGTTACAACTGTCCCTTCAGTTCCTAGTAAGTAAACACTAAATAACAGTTGATTGCCATTTCCTATTACTGTATTTGTGTATGTGATTCATAATTTTCAGACTTCAGTTTTTATAAACATCTCTCTTCAGCATTATAAAATTATCTTCAGGATAATATACTAGGAATCAGGTTCCCTGCCCATTGACAGCAATAGAAGTGGAAGATTCACAGCTTAAGCTGTCAGTACAGTGTCTTTCAAAACTTGAAGAGTGGAGGATAATTAAAGAATTCATAATCTGGGTCTAAAAGCTTTAATTAGTAAAGTTTCCAGGAAGCCACTGAAGGGGAAGGAAGAAGAAAGAGAAGGAAGATTTTAACCTCTGTGTTTGAAATTACAAGCAAATATAGCAAGGGAATAAGAGAAGGAGCAATGTCACATAGTAGTATCACTAGAGGTCTCAAAAGTAAAAATTCACCAGCCTCTGAGAACACATGCATGCTGAAAACTCCCATATTTGAGGGAATGAATCTATAATAGTGCCAGAATAGTTTAAGAATGGAGCACGATCTGTGTCTCTAATACTCCAAATGGAAGTATTATCTGGAACAAGGCTCACAATGAATGAATTCTTTACAATATGCATTTGGACGTATTGTTATTCTTAATATATCTGATTACCTTAAAAAGGAAAAGAAAGCAATATTTGCTTTGAAAAAAAAAAATTAGGTAGGGAAACAAGACGGACAGTTAGCAGTTCTGGTTTTGGAGGAAACAAGTGAACAAAAAAACCCAGTCAAAGGACTCTTTCCAATCCCTGATCTAAGTTCTATAAATCATTAAATGTTTCAAAACTTAGGCCTGATTTCTTCCATTTTGCCTTTGCTAACTCTGTTCCTTGTGGTAAGGCAAGAGTGATGAATAGGTGCTTGCTCCAGTAATAATGGATGGGGCTTCTTTCCTGCTTGATGAACGCTCATATATTTTCATCTCACTATCTTCTTGGCACCTCTTCTGAATCCCAGGTTCAGTGGGGAACTAGAGGAGGGTTGATTTTGTTTGCATATTTTTGCCATCTTGTCCAGGTCAAGCAGAAGTCAATGAAACGTCTCTACCTATATCGCGTACGCGCTTCTCCAGGCGGGTTGTACTGCTTGATCCAGACCCATCATGCTGCAGAGTCTTCTGGAGGAAAGCAGAGAGACTTAAGCTTCCTCAAAACATTCCCGTTTCGTAGAGCTAGTTAGAAAAAACTCACTGAGAAAAATATGAAAAAATACCTGTAGCCATCTTCATTAATCTGGAAACTGTATACAAAACAATCAGGAAAGATTGCATAGAATGTTAACCATGTTCATGAACATTGAAAGCAAAACCAGGTGCAAATATGAATAGAGCTTGTGGAAAAAATAATTAAAATATCTGATAAGCCTTTGGAATTTATTTGAAAGAGGCATGAACCTTGTTGAAAGAAAAGCTACAAAAGACCTATTCACAGATGGCCTCAAATCATTAAAACAGTATGTTCCAGGACTGCCTCCTATTAGATTTACTGTCACTTAAAAAGCATAACTAGTTGCTTTCTTGACAGTATATCAAAAATTAAAATGATCTAAAGTTAAAATAATAGAAAAAGACTGTTTGAATTGTATTCACATTGAAGCACTGTATACTAATATTGCCGTTCTATTAAAACTATCACCTCTAAATCTTCTACATCAAGACAGGTTAGAAACCAATAAATTCTAAATATAAGAGCAAAATTCAGTTTTACACCTTCATCCTGAACTGCAGGGAGGTAAAATTCAATAAGGTGTCTCTTGTCATCAAAATTATATTTTAATAACATTAGCAGTTTCAGTCATAATTTAAATAAGTGGATTTTCAAATTTGTTTCCAGTTTTCATTCAAGTAATACTGTGAAGAGGGGCTGATGTTGCCACCTCCAGCCATCTTTCAGGTGCTGTGGGTAAATGCACCTCACAAACTAACATCAGTCTCATGATTATTGGTATAACACTCCTATAGTAAATAGCAGCTGAGTGGTACTATGAAAACACCACAAAGAAATACCATTCAAACTATAGATCGTTAACCACACTATGGTGATAAAGTTTCAATATTCAAAAAAGAAAGTGGTCATGTGGCGTATAACTACTTCTAAGATTAGATAGGATCCATACTGTCGTTCAATGTGATACAAAAGCACAGGCTAAGCTGTTGCGGGGGAAAGACTAACTTGCTTGTATAACTTTGTTGAGGCATGCTATGTATACGCTACCTGTTACCTGCTGAAGAAAAGTGAGTGTTATCCATCCTCTTCAAAGAAGTATGAAATCACTTTGATGGATGTGGTGCAAACTTACTAACACTAATGGTTTCGCTACAAATGTCATGTCTATAAACAAGAGATGAAAGCATTTGAGCTGAGCCAATTTCATTTGCTAGACTTAGAGCTTCAGTAAGAGGCAATGGCATGATTCACAGTGCCACAGAAGCTCATTGAAAAGTCAAAAAAAAAATATTTGGTAGTGGTAGGGAAGCTGGATTTGCTTTTGTCTTTTGCACAAGACTAAACTTTCACTTTCATCCAAAACAAAGATTTCTTTCATCTTCATATTCATTTATAACCTGTCTTTTAACATAAACAGCAGTGTGGAAATTACAGTGTAGATTGCACAGTTAAGATATGCATGTCAGTGTAAATTAAAGTTTTGGCTGAAATACAGAGGAATTTTTTCATGTCATATAACATGTTCTACAGTGTTGAGAAAATTGTCTATTATGCTCATGAAGGGACCAAGATTATTGGTGCTGATTGTTATTTGGTTCTCTAACGAGTGACTCTAAACATAAATTTATATAAAGATCACTGGAAATTTTTAAAATATTTTTTCCATACATGAGTAAAATCAATTACTTCTATTGTTTTTTCTCTGGAAAAGAAAGACCATTACTAATGTACCTTACATGTAGTCAACACGAGATCAGATTTCATCATGTTGCCCCTGTTCTGCTATTAAGAAAGGTTGTTTTGCTCTGTATCATCAGATGATACAAGCTAAGAATCACGTATTCTTCAAGCAGCTTTGCAATAGCTGTGTTTGTACGTGCAGTAATGTTTCATTTTAAAAAAGCCAATATAATATTTGTTGTTAATGGTATTTACAGAAAGTAGTCCTCCTTGGGAGGCATACAGCTGTAACATAATATACTTGTTAATCAATGTGTGATCATTAACAGTTCCTTTTCCTTTCAAAGAGTTCAACTTTTCTTGCCAGGAGTGATTTGGTGAAACAAAGTTCTGTAAGATGTCTATCATAAGAAAGTTCAAATCTTTCTTGTATGTAGTGGAGCTTCCTCCCAATAGGATTCAGTGGGCAAACTCAGTAGGACTTGCATCTTATGCAGTCCCCAACCAAGTGGCTCAGAGTATGCAATACTGACAGACATGATGAAACACATAATTTGAACCATAATGTGGGGCAGGGGGGAACAGTATTGAAGTATAGCCAAAGTCTGACGGTTAAAAAACAAATTTTACTTCAAAGAACAAAACAAAATTTGAACGGTAGTTTCTTCTTCCTTGACTTTTATTTCCTAAAGCAAATGGAGGAGCACTTTTTATATTTTAAGTAATTGAGAACAGTGTAAGGGGGAAAACACCAAAGTTTTTTCTGGTGGTACAGTTGAAGTGAAGTTAAATAATATTTCTCAAATGAAGTAAAGTTTTGGAATATGATGCTGAGATATTCTGGATGTAAACCAGCATCTAAACTCTATATTGAAAGAACATATTGAATATATAAATTCCAGTTAGCTATGTCTAAGTGTGCGAGTGTATATATGTGTGTACATACATATCTCCAATATTTGCTTTCAAATACATTTTATTCATTGAATCATAGAATGGTTTGGGTTGGAAGGGACCTTAAAGACCGTCTAGTTCCAACCCCCCTGCCATGGGTAGGGACACCTTCCACTAGACCAGGTTGCTCAAAGCCTCATCCAGCCCAGCCTTGAAGACAGCCAGGAATGGGGCATCCACAGCTTCTCTGGGCAACCAGTTCCAGTGCCTCACCACCCTCTCTGTGAAGAACTTCTTCCTGATATCTAATCTAAACCTCCCTGCTTTCAATTTAAACCTGTTACCCCTTGTCCTGTCACTTCAGGCCTTTGTAAAAAGTCCCCTCCCAGCTTCCTTGTAGGTTCTTTCTGGTACTGGAAGGCTGCAATAAGGTCTCCTTGGAGCCTTCTCTTCTCCAGGCTGAACAAGCCAAATTCTCTCAGCCTTTCTTCACAGCAAAAGTGCTCCAGCCCTCTGATCATAACAGGTCCCTGTCCTTCTTATGTTGAGGCCCTCAGAGCTGGATGCAGCACTCCAGGTGGGGTCTCACAAGAGCAGAGTACAGGGGCAGAATCACCTCCCTCGACCTGCTGCCCACGCTTCTCTGGATACAGCCCAAGTTACGGTTGGCTTTCTGGGCTGCCAGCGCACACTGCCGGCTCATGTTCCGTTTTTCATCCACCAGGAGCCCCAAGTCTTTCTCCTCGGGGCTGCTCTCAATCCATTCTCCACCCAGCCTGTACTTGTGCTTGGGATTGCCCTGAACCAGGTGCCTGTACCTTGCACGTGGCCTTGTTGAACTTCATGCGGTTAATTTTTATATATAAGTGCGTATACATATTTATGTTAAAAGACCTTTATTATTGGGACATTCGTTTGAAGGAAAAGCAAATGGCTACTTTTACCATTTACAAGGTTTAATTGTAAAAGTTTTTAGGGTCCTGATGAAATAAAAATAACAGAGTAAGGATTTCTTTTTTGCTGTAAAGTTTATTTGCTAGTTGACAAAATGGTCTTCGTACTTGAGTATTTCTGGTAATGCTGCAAGAAGGTCAATCAGATAATAAGCAAGGCATACAATGTAAGTGCATAAAGAAATTGTATTTAACGGGGGGGGGAGGGAACAACACTCCTTCTTTGACGTTTTCTAGCTTTTATATTAATGTACTAGTAAAGCATACAGTTGACTGTATCACATGCCTTTCTTCATATTTTCTGTCATGTGCACAGCTTGCAGACCAATAATCATCACACGAAGAACAGACTTTCCCTAACTACATGGGGATGATTTCTCACAGCCCCATCATGAATACAGTTCTGCACCTGGGCACTAGCACTTCACAAACAGCAAGATATGAACTATAGCTGTAGATAACACTATGGAATGAATTGTATATGTCAGAAGGTCTGACTTAGACACTGTAACTAGTAAGGACAGTGAATTTCTTACACACTTTGTCTCCTCAGTGCTTTTACCAGAGTGTTGTTTTCACAACTCATTATTCAAGTTTTAATGCAATGGCACCATAACTTAGTCCTTATAGTGATAAGTTAGCTTGAATATCCTCTTCATAAAATTATGTTTTCCAAATTACCTTTGTTACAATGTATTGCAAAAGTAAGACAATAGGTTAATTATATATTTGTGGGTTTTTTTCCCAGCTGACTGTGGAGGACCAGTTGAACTCTGGGAGCCAAACAGTACATTCAGCTCTGAAAACTTTCCAAACAATTACCCTAATCAAGCTTATTGTAAGTCTGTCTTCTCCAAGTCTTCAGAAGAAGTTTAGCCATATAGGTTAGGGATACTACATCTGTTTTCTCAAGTCCAATGCTTTCAAGCCAAATAAATCTAAGCTATATATGGTGGGATCATTTAACTGAAGTCTATATGGCACTAAGCAGAAGCTAAGGAATCGTGATTCATTGAAAAGTGATGAAGACATGCATTATGCTTTGAAATGGGTTCAGATAGACCAATTCCATCATGCCTATTATATCAAATATCTTTATGTCAATGCAACAACAGACAAGGTGCTGAAAATGTCCATTTTACCATTACAACTCAATGTATTTGCCATGTTAATATTATTTCATCTTTTAAATAGTTAACCTACTCTAGAGGCAAAGAATGTGTGTATGCATTTTTCAAGGGATCCTCTTTTTATTGAATGTTCCTTAACGTACTAGTGAAAAGACATTGTTATGCTATTGGTGTTACTTGATTTAGATTAAACTACAGCTGGCAAAACTGAAAATCTTCAAGGTGGTCCACTATGTGCTGTTGATGGATGAAGCAAGGAAGAGAACTTTGTCATTGCTTCTTAATGAAATTTTAATTATTCATTCCTTCACCTTTGACTAGAAAATTGTGTTGGTATGCTAGTCACAAGAGTTGTAATTTTGTGTTTCTGTCCCACTTGAGATATGACTCTAATTTCCAGGTATTAATTTCACAAGTTCCCAAATGAGGTTCCTACTACTGAGAAAACAGTTTTCATTCTATGAACAGATTAAAAAATGTTTGGTTTCTTCTACTTTCTTTACAAGATTTTAATAATATATGCACATGGATTAAATATGATAAAGCATAGGCTACCCAGAAGAAAATACTTCTTCTGTAAAAAGACATCTAACTTGAAAGACAGGCTTCTGTGACTGATTACAGAAATTATCTTACTACCAAATAAAATGTAAGTGACATTTACACAGTTACAAAAGAATAACCTTTCCTATTTTAGGGAAACTCATAACTGTCTTGAATGGTAAAAAAAATGAATGTGTTTTAGGAATCTAAATCCAGCTTTCAAAAGTGTTTCAGAGAATGAGAGTCAATTGAATTTTGGGTCTTGACAGCCTAACTTGCTTTTAAAGGTAAGATTTAGGCTTCTAAGTCTCCTAGGTGATTCTTAATAGTTTAGCAGAGATTTTTTTTTTTTCCCCCCAAAATCCTTCAACATGAAAATAACACAATAAATGTAACAACTGAAAAGGTGATTTTTGTGTGTGTTATTTTTTTCTAGGTGTGTGGTACATAAATGCTGAAAAGGGAAAAAACATTCAACTTCATTTTCAGGTTTTTGATCTGGAAAATATTCTTGATGTTGTTGAAGTCAGAGATGGCAGAGGACCAAATTCCTTACTTTTGGGCAAGTAACAGCGCTGGATACTAATATGAATATAATCACAGAATCATAGAATGGTTTGGGTTGGAAGGGACCTTAAAGATGATCTAGTTCCACCCCCCCCTGCTATGGGCAAGGACACCCTCCACTAGACCAACTTGCTCAGAGCCTCGTCCATCTGGACCAAACTGATAGATGTAATATAAAGAAAATTAATTCCCTCTGATTTCATTCTACATTTCTTCAAATTTTTGGGTCTCAGAAATTAGGAGGAAAACTTGACAAAGCATAATGTATGTGACATCGCATTTTCCATGTTTGCACACACTCAGCTTGCCATGGAATCCAAATGAAATTAAGTTCTCAGTAACTAAGATTGTTCATGAATGTGGACAAACAGAAGCATAATCTCTTACTCAAACCATATTTTTCTATACAGATGTGTCAAATTTGGAGTTGAGCTTTGATCATTGCAGTCTGGTAGCGGCTGGGGGAATAACTGTGTTTGTGTGATAGCAGTATTTGCTTTTGAACCCAAAACGTTTTGAAATACATAATAAAATTAGCTTAAATGTATTCATATTCTCCTGGAGAATAGCCGTCTATACAGGACAAGACCCATTGCTAGATGTCTTCTCTACAACAAACCAGATGACAGTAATCCTCCTTACAGACAAGTCTGCAACAAGGAAGGGATTTCTTGCAAACTTTACTACTGGATACCATCTAGGTAAGCATATGAACCCTTGTATTTAAGAGGTTATACCACTGGTCAAATACATTCAAAAGAAAGTGGAGAGTGGAAGGTGACTCTCAGCCCTTGATAAACAGATATATGAAAAATTTAAAGAGAAAAAGCCTGATGGCTACCCACACCTGCTTTATGTTTTCTAGAAAGAAAAGTGACGGTTTTGTTGTTTCAGTGTAAATGGACCAGTGTCTCTATCATCTGTGGCTCTGTGTGAAATTACATGAAGAATTGACTCAGTATTTTGACCGAAATATATTCAAATGTTAAGGTTACAAATATGAACTATTCCCTGTACAAGACCCAGAAAAGAACATGACTTTGTGACTCATTTGAAGATTTTATTAATGTGTGTTTAAATATGTTTGTAAAATATTTATTATTGGTCACATCCACTAGAAGAGAAAAATGTACATGGTAACTGATTACTATTTGCAGTATGTTCCTTCTTGCATCTTTAGAAATTTGGCCCTGAGCATGCAAAGGATCTGGAGAAAGTTAGTCTTTTAAATACTTGGACAGCAGTGTTGCTGGTCCCAGCCAGTCCCTTTCTGAAAGACTCTTGGTTTTGTTGGGGACTGTAATTAGACTTGTCACTCTCATAAGTAATGCAGCAATGAGCTCTCCAAAAACATTGAAAATGGAGCCAAATACTAAAGTACATGGAACAGTTTATGCTTACCAGGACAAATACTTACACTAACTCTAGGCCAAATCTTGCCAAAATTAATTAGAGGCTTTGTATTACTTCTGTGGAAGTCTGACAGCAGAAAAACAGAGAAAGAAAAAGCAGTATGTATTCAGAGATGTGTGAATACCATGCATTTGCATTAATAGAAAGTCAAGAAGAATCTATGTTCTTTTTCTTACTTTAAATATCATAAAAGGCAAGTGTCTCCCAGCACATTTAGCTAGCTGTAGCTTTTTTATAGATAATGTTAATCTTCTTAATCTTTAAAAAAAAATCTTAACCACTGATTTACCTTTGTAAAATCAACTCCATTTAGTCCCATTGTGCAAGACTAAGAGGTAGGTTTATATGGACATATGAACGTTTTGCTGCTTCTTATTCCATTTGTTCAGTCCAGCAATACTGTGCCCTTTATTTTTAGCTGGTTCAGCATCTTTGCTGAGCCAGCTTTGCTCATATTTTGTTGTAAAATAAAAATTAAGCTTAGCAAGGCAAAGTTCTCAAAGTGGCCATTGCCAGTTCTGGTTAAATATATTGAAAAGGTTCCATTTGCAAAAGAATTATGCTTATTCATGATCTTTACAGCCAAAGGACAAAGAATAATATTATTAGCATGCCTGCCCAAGGATAAAAGGATTGCCAGTAAATAAATTAATTTTATAATAAAAGCAGATTTTTCTTTGTATTTTATTTTTCCATGAAATATAAAGTTTTTTAAAAGGAATCATAATTTGAAAAGAAACACTTTTGTCAGTATGCAATATCATAAGAAAACCTGTCTAAATGAAAACTAAGTTCTATGGAAAATCTGACCAGTTATGGCCACTGAATATGTGAAAATATGGTTCAGGTCTTTTATAAACCATATTCTTTTGCTTCCATATTGTACAACAAGCCACGATGACTGACAAATGAATCATTTTATATGAATATTAAAAATTACAAAGCAAAGCAGTCATTTTGCCTTAAATAAGACTTCTAGGTAATTAAACATTTCAGTCAGTAAATCCAGGAAAGTAAAATAAAGAAAATAAACACTTTTTCAATAGAATTTAAATTTATGACTGTATATTTCATGTAAATATATAGGATGATGCCATCAAAAAACCACTTTGGACATGGAGAGAATTATAACTTTAGATTTACTGTCTATCTGATCTGCCTTTGTTACATAACTGGTACTGAAGTTGCTTAATCCTACTCTTGTGAATTCTTTCCTTTGTTTACTTCTGTCTCTTCTACCTTTCCTCCCTGACAGGTTTCAAAAGGAGACTCTTGTTTTTCAGTGCCTCTTTCATTGTATGTTTGACTTGACATGCTTTAAGGCCTAGACTTTTTCAAAAGTGCTGATCATCTGGAACTTGAAATCATTAGTCACTTGTGACAGGATTTGATCAGGGTTTGACTTTCATAAACTACAGTTGTAACATCATAGGCTTTATTCTTAATTAGTTTCTATTTATCTGAAAGTAATTGTTATTTTGAAAAAGAGATGGATAGGAAAGGAAACAAAAGGAAATTAAAGATTCTGCAACACTACCCACTCAATTTTTCTTTCAGGTGAACTGTATGATCTCCAGTGAACATAAACCCTCCTTGAATTAATTGTCCTTTCCTGTTTTCCTTCAGGAGGTTGTGCAGTTGACGAGCATCAGTGTGGGAGTGGGGAGTGTATACCATTGCTTAACCTCTGTGACAACCTGCCGCAGTGTGAAGATGGTTCTGATGAAGCAAAGTGCAGTAAGGTTTCCTTCATACAAAGAGAAGGAATGCATGCATATTTGGTAGAAATTGCATAGAAAAACACCCACAAAACCTCAGCTAGCATAAAACACTGCAGCTGCATGCAAGCCATGCCAATTTACACAGCAGCATCTGGTTGAGTTTGTCAGGGCCCAAAAAACCAGTCACTTTTATGAGACAGTGTGTGTAAGCTGGTGAAGATCTCTGGAAAATGTATAAAGTTCCTCTGTGCTTAAAACTGTGGCTGCTTATAATGGCCTCAAAATCAAATGAAAACTCATTACTCGCTTTCCTTCAGTATTCATATTGTATTCCCAAGTTCTATCCCTTTTTGCTATAATTTATTAGAGATTCACAGGAGTATAAATTCTGCAGTGTAGAGTCGTTTTGTTGGAAATTCCCAGATAGTCTTGGGTGTGAAGCCAAACTGCAGCACATGGCACCCTCCAGCCTGCATTGCCATAAGGTGAAGGGATGGTGCAGCTGCCGGAGCAGCATCCCTTGCTCACAGTGGGTGTGACGTTCCTACAAGGAGACCACAGCTGCTGTTGCTTAGTCCTCTGGTAAAATGGTTCTTTCCAAAAAGTAGGTGTACAGTATACGGCTTATTTTCACATGATGTGGGAAAAGCATTCTCTAAACAGTAATTTAAATATAAACCAGATGTTAAAATCATGCTGCTGGGTCTAGCACAGAGATTAAATTGCTGTTTCTGACAAAGTGCTGTTCTGACAATCTATTATGGAGCACAAATGAAAGAGTTAAAAGTTTTAAAGAGGACTTCTAGGAATCACATGTGTCCTTGTATGAGTGATGACAGTTCTCATTGATTTCAATGTCTTACATGCGCATACATATAGTTTGTATATATCACATATGGAAGTATATGTGTACATATATATATATGCCTGAAGGCATGGATTCACTGTTCACATTAGTGCAATTAGCTATACTCTTGCAAACATATTCTTCCTTTAAAATGCATAAAATAAAATTAACTTGAGCTTCTTCTTAAGCAAAGAGGACTTGAATGGATTTTTTCAGCCATTGCTAAAGTAGATCTGAACAAGATAACCATCACCTACATTAACATGATGTACATTTTCCCCAAGATTTATTTTGCCATAGATTGTCTATTACTTCATAACAAATTACCTCACATTACAGAATTGAGAGAATTGTTTCCAAAAACCCATTTAATCCAAACATGGAATGAATCAATCTAAGCCTTAAAATAAAATGAAAATTCAATTAGGCATCCTCACATTGAGCCTTTTCAGGGTCATTTGATCATTTTCCTGAAAACAATTTCAATTTCTTATCAGAAGTGGCATTTTAAACTACACAAACTGGTATTTTCAAATACTCCAACATCTGAAACTTTCCAGCAACTGTAAAGAAAAGCATAGGATATTTTTCCTTTGCAGTATTCTAAAATATATGACATCTGAATGAAGCAGTTGTTGAATGCTCAATGACTCTCTCATTCTTTACCAAAAACCTGTTTGGAGAAGAACATGGATCTGATAAGGAGAAAGGAAAAGGAATTACAGTTCAAGCTGAAGACAGGAGAGGTGTCAGAAGTAATTTGGCAAAATCTCTTAGTGCAAACAATTCTGAAATTTTTCAAGACTACTCAAAAATTTCTTATGACTGAGGTTTACCATTAATTGATCGCTGTATATCACTTGTTTAATTCATGCACTCTGGTTATAAAAGAGGCATTCCTACTTTTTTTTTTTTTTCTATAGTGGGTATGCTTTACATTTCTCTGGAAGTATTTTGGTGGAAAAAGATTTTCTAGAAAACTAGGGTTTAAAAAAAAAAAAGAAAATTTTGGCAAATAGTAGATTTTACATGCATTTTATGTTTTTCCCTGCTTTATGCTGGCAAGAGCTGTCATCTGTCTGAACCGCAGCTGTAGGTCTTGAGACATGTATGAAATTCTGTGACTTTCTTGAAACTTACGGTACAACTTCCTCAGTCACTATGCCAATAGCATGAGTTTTTTCCCAAATAATGAATTTCTGAATATTTTGTTTTGGGAAAAGTTTTGATAGAAAGATTGGTTTTCAGGAACATTATTTGTGTGTGTGTATTTTAACTAAAGCTGCAACAAAAACAGTGAAAATTCTCATAAAATTAGAACTGGAGAATCCTTTTTTTTTCTGTCGGGTCTAGTTTTAACCTTATTTGCAGTGTTACTCAGCATCGTGTAGCTACAGCTTCACACTGTATCTGGAAATTACATAATGCTGGCTAAGAAAAAACATTGGTAAGAGTTGACGGAAAATGTACTGTTTATTGTCTATTAGTGAGACATTTGCAAAATACAGGATAGGAAACTCTCCTGTGGCAGAAATATAGAATGAAATAACGACATTTCCTTCCTGTGGGAACACAAGATCCTGGAAATACTGGGTTTATTATTGCTGTAACATATTTTAACTTTTTATTGTTCTTTGCTGCAATAATAAATCTCTTTATATCACATTTCTGTTTGTTTTGGATGGAGAGAGAGGGTGGTTTCCCACCTATCTAAAATGCTTCTGTCCATTTTGGTCTACAGTGAGATTGTTTAATGGTTCTCTAAGTACCGAAGGGCTGGTACAGGCCAGGATTGGGAGAACGTGGCACCTGGCATGTGCAGATGATTGGAATGAACAAATTTCAGACAGTATTTGCCAGCTGCTGGGGTTAGGGTAAGTGAAAAAACATTCATTATCCTTATAACTTGTTTTCAGGTTTTTTGAGTCTGTATATTGATGTTTTCCTCATCATTTTACTGGTATCTTTACCATCAAAAAAAATGTCAAAAGCATTTTTCTGTGGCAAATGAAGTGCTTGGCGTGCCAACAAATTTATGAGTGTTGCAAACCCTCCTGTGATGGCATTCATCGCAGGATTGATGACTCTGAATATGGCAGATTAGGCATGAGGATACATATTGGAGAACCCTGGGAGACTGATGTAGAGGTATTAGTCTTTTATCACTTTATGTCATCATTTACGTCTTTTACGAAGATGGCTCAAGAGTAAGGCTGGAGCAAACAGCATCCTTGGCTGCTCTGCTATCACACTAATGTTCATTTCAAGTAAATTCAAGATAGTGACTTGGGTATTCTGCTATTGGGCTCCCAACACATTTCATACCTGTCATTAGACCTGAGCTGCTGGGAGAGGAAACTCTATTTCTCTTGAGGTATACTTGGAGTGGGGAGGAAGAAGAGAAGTATCTGACTAAAACAATAGATTTGGCTTCAGTCATTGTTCAGAATTTCCAGGGAAAAGGTGTGGAGAGTTGAGTGCAGAAGTAGTGTATTTTTCATTCTGAGCTAAAATTTGTGGCCTAAATTCTGGCCTTACTTACACTGTATGCAATTTCACTGATGTCTTCTGAATAATAAGCAGCTTTCCTACAGTGTCACTGTAGGAATGTCACTCATGCAAGTAATAAATGCAATTCATTATGTTGGTCTCAGACCAAAGTAGGATGCCTACAAATGCCATTCTGAAAAATTAACTGTAGAAAGCACAGAGTTAGGGGTGCTTAGAAAAATATCCAAGTGTTATTTGAAAATACTTTTAATTATTGAATGATTGTGTGCTCGTTTGGTGGTTTTGGGTTTTTTGTTTGGTGGTTTTGTTTTTTTTTTTTTTACTTTGGGTAGGTACAATATTTATGTAAAAATTAGATACCTGCATCTAAAATTACTGATTGCAATTTATGTATGCAGTTATCTCATTTATTCATGCATCTAAGGGCATATAAACTATGACAAAATGTTCTTCTAGTCAAATACCTTGTCCTCTGAAGTGGCCAGTAGCCTTGTTCCAGAGTCTTTCTTCCACTCCCCTGCCTCCTTTCCCTCTATAGCTTCTGGACATTAGTAATTTTGTGGTCTGTTGGTTTAATTTATATTTTTATATTTGATAGTCTTCAGTGAAATTTGTCTTCCATGGTACTTTCTCTTACCTTTTAAAAACTTAGGCTTTTATCTCCATAACATTCTGTTGCAATATGTTTCAGTTTGTCTCTATAAAACAGATATACTTGCTAAAAAATTCTTATTAAGTTTCCTTGTAACTACTTTCTAATTCCATTTCTCAGTTTATTACATATTCCCATTATAAAGAAAAAGTTTTTTTAAACCTAAATTGTATTACATTCTCACATCTTAGATGGTACTGCTGTACTGATCCTACAGATTAGGATAAAATTCTCATATATATACATGTATATAACTCCTGTAAGCATCACACTATTTCTGCCTTCCACAAATCCCTCTGTAGCAGCACATAAGTGGCACCATGTTCGTTACGAAATGGATGTTTGTAATAACAGGTCTTGAGGAGGCTATAGCTCATGCTTCTATACTGAATAATTACCTAGAATCACGTTTTATTAGCGAAAGAGGCTAAGGTTCATCGAGGACGATTTACTTCAGCTGTTAATTGCTTTTACATATGTTAGTCTCATTTACTGTTTAATTTATGAAAAGGACTGAAATGATAGGAGTCCTGTAGCATATCCTGGTTATTTATGTAGCTGGGCTAGAAAGTGCAGTGTTCCATACAGATTCTAATAATTCACGCATTTGAATCCTTTTGCCTCCATTTTTCAACTGTCTGACTGTTGCATTTGTGATATGTGCCAAACAGGAAGCAAATCTGGAGGCATGCTTATGTGTTCATCTACAAAATATAGCTTAGACAAATAATTTACAAATGTTCTTAATGAGTCTGCAGTGCAAGGTGCACAAACTCATGCTCTTGAGAAACCTGAACAAGATGCTTTGCTCCCTTTGCACTTGTAACTGTGTGCATCTGACAATGCTCTCCAAATCTGAGTGCTGTTAGCATCGTTTTTTCTTGAACCAACAAAATCGTACATTTAGCTTTTCACCATTCTGTTGGTGTGCTGTGAAACATGCTTGTTTCTCTGGGACCACAGCCAGCTGGGTCTTTACTGAATTGTACCCAGGAGTGGGGGCAGACCTTCCAATTCTGCCATACTCAAAAGTCCAAGAAGGACTGAGAGTTTAGACTGAAAGGTTGAGAGCAAGCCCTATTTTCTTCATGAACTCACAAAATTCTTGAGAAGGAAATGAGTTCATTGGAATACAATGTCTTATTTGAGATTTTGAGGTCAATTAGGTTTTCATCCTCCCCAATTACGAATGGTCAGTAGTAGCTACATGCATAGCTCCTTCAGACACCTCAGAAAACCCTGCCTGTGACTGTCAGACCCAGGTTCCCTAGTGTGCTGACTATATTACACATGGCCTGAAAGAGATGGAGATAATTCCTCAAAATCTAGGAACCACAAAAAAAAAAAAAAAAAATCTGATGGATAAATCAGGTTTATAAACAAATATTAAAATCTTCCTCTGGTGTAGAGGCAATGGGAGTCACGTGCTGGATGTAAGAAGGAACCTGGTTCTCAGTGTGTTCAGGCTGTGTTTGCAACATTGAGGATCAGAATTAGGACAGTCCTAATAATTTTGTGATAGACTTAATTTCAAGTCAGTGTTCACCAGTAATAAAGTGCACTATAATTTGAAAGACACAGGAGATGTCTCAATTATCTTTTTGGATTTGTAGGTTCAGTTTCACTTAGGATCAGACACTGCTAGTAAGCTTGGCTTAAACCCATTGCCTAAGTAGCTTCATTTCAAATCCAGAAAAGTATAGCGGTTAGTTTTATTAATGATTTGCAAATTTTCATATAAAAAAATTGTGTGCACACAAGCATTTAGAAAACAGCAGCTCTTCATATGAATCCTCCTGTGGATAAAGCTGCTTTATGCCAAAGTAAGTGTTCTCTATTTTTAATTTGCTACTTTACTTCATTGTTAGATTTTCTAACAGTCACAAAATCAACCCAAGAAACAGTAATGCTGCCTGTGTATCAAACACATATTAAGCAAACTGCATAATCCCACAGCCTGAGAACTAAACAATGAATCACAAAATGTGTGAACATGTTTCCTTCAGATAGGAAATGCATTGCTTACGTGTTGGTTTGTTTGTTTGTTTGTTTAATAATTGTAGCTATCAGACAATTGCACTTCTATCCTTATTCTGAATACTTATTTCGGCATGGTACCACATCATCTGAATATTTCTCAACATTTACTACTGCTTGTTACTGAGTACATCTGAGACAGGGTTAGAGACTGAAATCACAGGGATCCATAGGGTATTTGTGTACATGAGGACCAGTAACATCTGAGGAATTTACTGCACAGATATCTCTGTACATCTGTGTGTATGACATTAAGACTATTTTCTATGTTTTCTGTAACTTTTGCGCAGTAAGTATGCTGAATGGAATGAGGATTACTTAACACCTAGGCTAGCTTCTTAAAGGCCATTTTTCTCACAACCTGCAATATTTGTAAAAGATTATTTTAAATAACAGAAATTAAAGAGCTATGACAGTGCATTTCTGGACCTGCAGAACAAACTATATACTTGTTACTAAATTGAATATCTACAGGAAAAGTGTATGCTTTCTTACACTTACAGAAATGCTTAACCCTCATCATTTAAAATAAGTAAAAGTGTAGCAGATGGATTTTTGCAGTCACTCATACAGCTTAGAGATTTCCAATCATGTGCTTCAGCTCACTAAGAAACCAAAAAAAAAAGATTGTCTTAGAAAAAGGTTTAGATTTTATTTTAAAAAGCTGGGAAAGCTTAATAAAGGCCCTGTGGTTACAGAGAAGCTCAGAAAAATACCAAACTGTAATCCAGAAATTTCAGCATTTACTTAAAAAAAAAGAAGCAGAAGAGTGGGAAGTAGTTTGCCGCATCTTTGCTGAAAAAGACCAAGAAAGATGCTGAGGTGAGATGACAGATCTTCACAAGTATTGCAAAGTTGGTGGGAGCTTTGACTTGGAAGGTTTATAGTATTTGCCCTATTACAGGGTCTGTTACAGTAATCTAGTAAAACACACATGCATTCAATCGAAGTTTCCTGCTATAATGTGCCATGGAAAATGTAAGCCAGTAATAAGTGTACATACTCTAAGCTTTTCCTGGTAGCATGTTCATTTTTTACATTGGTAAAAGCTCCTTCTCACTGACTCTCTCAAGAAATAATTTTGTGACTTCTATACACATTTGCAGTCATCATAACTCGGTGGTTAGACTGGTGTCAGCAAAGATATCTTTTTTCCCCCATGCTCCCTCAAGAGAAAGCAAATATGTTTCTTGGGTGTATGTTCCAAGCTGGTCATAGCAGAATGGGCTATAAAGTAAAGCTGGATGTGGGTTGTAAACATCAAAATAATTTAGCTCGCCAATAGTAATTATTGGTGTTCAAAAGACTGTTACCAAAAAAAAAAAAACTAACCACAAACAAACCCAGGCAGTGAGTTGAGGAGTACAACCCACTTCAGAAGAACTATCCTGTTTGATACCAAACATGACACCCTTGACTTATTCCACAGTTACTTTGATTTCAATAGATGGGCAAGGTGAAGCAACTTCTAAGGAAGGCAGCATTTATTCCATTAGATTCTTCATGATATAAAATAGTTTCATTTCCTCTCTAGGCACAGATGTATAGTATCAATGTAACTGCACACCCCCCACCCACCCCCCCCAAAAAAAGGCAAAACTGATATTCTAAGGTTCAGCTATTACAGTTCCATTCTGCAACTGAACAGGATAAATATCTAAAAATGTTTAAAAATTGCATGTGTGTCTTTTTCCTTTCAGGGATGCAAATACGTCATCAGCTGTATTAGTCACTGGAGATGGCCCATTTGTCAAAATCACCAAAGCAGCTAACCAGAGCCTAATATTTACAAAAAGGTGGGTAGAGTGAGGTTTCTTCCTCATGCAAAGAATAATTTAAAATATGGTGGTGATTATTTATACACTAATTTCTAGTTCAAGTTCATCGGAGGGGTAGCATGATTCTGTATCAGGTCTGGACTATAAACATATCTAGCTTTTATTCTCCGTCTATTGCTGAATTCTCTGTAACATCGGGCAACTCACTCTTCCCCCCTCCATTCTTGTACACCTTTAGTAAATTTTAAAGGAGAGATGCTTGCTACGTTTTTAGCTAGCATTCAGTATAATCTTGAGTAAAGTCTTTATACATTTATTGCAGAAATGATAAATACTGCTTTTTTTAAAAAACATTTATTATCTAGAAATCTCTAAATTATGAACTTATAATATAGGAGAAGAATTAAAATTGAGAGGCATTCAGCCATGGTTATATAGTAGTTATCACACTAGGCTCTTTCTGTGATCAACAGAGAAAAGTAAGCACTCCAAATTAGAATCCCTCAAGGCATCTGTTTAAAAATAATGAGTCACAATCTATAATCCATTGATTTTATTAACAGTTTTAGGATTAAGTGTGGGTTGCTAAAGTAAGCAATCTACTGACAGGTATCTATATTTAGACAAATTAGTGCCACTCAAAAATTACTTCTGGATTTATTTCCAGATTTAGAAGTGAATCCTTAGACAAGATGATCCTGACAATATATTCAATTATATTCTAATCTTTCTCAGTCCAAATAACAGCTGAAGTGATTCTGAAGGCTCCTAAAACTGGTAGTTTCTTGTAGATTAAATGAAAATGTAATGTTAGCGGGGGTGGCGGGGGCAGGAACCACACACCATAATTACTTCAACTACTATCTTCTTGTTTATAAGAGGGTTTATTATACACATTTTCCTGGAACCCTACCAAAAGCACTGAGGCAGAAAATTACTGTCTAATTGCTGAAATGCTGAAACCATGTTGAAGATGGCAAGAGTCCATGTTCTTTCACATTTCCTTGATAAACATACCCCATAGTAACAAAGCAGGAGAGAATTCTTTTGCTATGCTATATTTTATCTACAGTAATACATAGCTGTTTGCTATGCTATATTTTATCTACAGTAAAAAAAATAAATAATTAAAAATATACATTATATGTTCTAATTATATTCTGCTAATCCCAAACATTTATCATTCTCACTGGTAGTGAGAGTGAAGTATCATAAACTAATGGAATATCATTGCAAGATATTTTCCCTTTTTTCTTGAGTGGATGTCTAAACCCTCATGTCTAATATCTACAATGTTTCATCTAGGCAGCTGATAGGAATAATTTCACAGGGTGTCATATTACAGATTTGCACAATTTTTTTTTGTACATACAATGAATGATTGAAGGATCACACAGATTTGATAATTTAAAAAATCAATAACTGGTAATCAAATTATAAAATATATTTCTCACATATTCTTTGGTCTTTATGCAAGCAAAGAAAGGCACATATAATAGGACTTGAAAGCTGCGGTGGCAGAGACAGCAAAACTATTTTCTGATTCCCTTAGTTATCCTGCCAAGAAATACCTCACCTTTGTAACAGGGCAAAATCCTGCCTTGAAGATATATGTGGGCAGATTCCACAGGCGTAATTGCTATTGCCAGTCCTAAGCAAAGATCATACTCACAAATGTCCCAACCACTCGAGACTTCTGCCCAGCATGCTGCTTCGTAGGCGACACTCAGAAAGGCCCATTGTGTGGGCGTTCAGCACATGAAATGCCTCTGCTGCCTTTTGGACTCCCCTGTGCTGTCCCAGAGACAGCTGGGGACTGGTGAGTTGCAGTGCAGGCAAGGAAGAGGTGGTCATACTGTGAGATAGCTTCAGAAAGAAGACAAAGCAGAGGCCCATGAAGTAATTTCTCCTAATGCAATCAGCAGTTACTGGTGGTGGGACAGACTCTGCTTCAGTGTTAAAAAACATGGGGACAAATCTTACTTGTTGGATGTTAGTTTAGCTAGTTTATGCATCAGTGTAAGAGAAAGCATAGGACCAGATAAAGAAGCTAAAAACAGCACCTACTGACCAGCCTTTTAGAGCCTATGGAGGGGGCTCAGTCAAGAGTATTTAGTTACTATGAAGTTTATGAAGAAGTTGGTATTGGTTTCCTGTGGGTTTATGCATTTCTGATTGTCTTCCCTGATGTTTGCCTCACTGCCAAGGGACGCCCTTATGAAGTTAATACAGTTTTGAATACAAATTACATAATCTGGTTTCCACTTCTTAAATTACAGCTTTAAAATTATGCATCTATCTTGAAGTGAAAAATTACTATCAAATTTTAGAGCAGACCTAGTGAGGGATACATAATACCATATCATATTTCAAGTATCCTTCCTTTTTTCGATTTAAAAATGATGTGGAAATACATGCTGTAAACTAGCCGTTGGCAGACCTTATTTTTTTTTCTCTGATATATTTCTGTATGTATCGGATTTAAATTGCTAGCACACACACTGTCCCAAGTGTTCAGATTCATTACAAGCTATGAAGATAATCTTAAAACCTCTGGATATCAGAAATGCTTGAGTAGTTTTTCTCTTCCGAGTCTGGCTTTGTATCTCTGCTGAATAATTTCTAACCCTGTATATTCAGCTATATATTTTACAGTGTGTTACAATCATAGTAAAAAGATACAGTGATATCAAGCTAACCTCGGATTCTTTGGTCACACTGATCTCTAGTGGTAAGGTATTGAAAACATCTCAAAAGGTAGAAAAATAGCACATGCAGTTACAATTTTACTGAGAATCTGTCACAGACAGATGACTCATTTTCCTAAAACACAAGAGATTCTGCTTTTATTTCTGTAGCCTACACAAATTAATTGTTGATTGAAGAAGAATATGTGCATTTAATATTATATGTAATATAATGTTGTATGTTAAATATAATTAAAACATGTAAGACAAAATATAATTAAAACGTAAGACAAAATATTATGGTTAACAGTTTGAGAGTGATGAACTAATGTGTTTATGTATAAGCATAGGTATACTTACTTTTTTTTATATATGTGTGTGTAGGTATGTATGTTTGACAGTCATTTAGTGTTACCTGGTGTACAGATACTTGTGATTTAATTGCACTTTCATTCTAGAGAACGCTGTTCGAACAACCTGGTGATACATTTGCAGTGCAACATTAAACGTAAGTACACATACCCTGGGAATATTTCACATGGAAATCAAGTTGTTCAGTCCATAAAGCCTAATGTTTATAGTTTGAATTGAAAGGTTAGGGAATGGACTTGAAAAGCTATACTCATAATGATATAAACACAGGAAAATTTAAAGTCTTCACTTGTTTTCAGAGTTAAGTATACACTAGAGATGGGTCTATACTGAAAACATATATAAAAAATCCTGAAGTCATGAGGAAAGAACACATCTAAATCCCAGTTATAAAGTTGCATCTTGATTTCAGCTATAAAACACCAAACATTTTTCCACAGCAATAACATTTTTGAATAGCAGTTCAGATACTACAAAGCCTATTTTTCCAAGAATATTAGATAGTTCAATAAAACATGCTATATCCCCCCAAAAATCTGCAAATATTTTCTTTTTTATTATTATTATTATTTTAATTATTTATTTATTTCTTTATTTTAGCTTGTGGAAAACACATGGTAACTCAGGACAGTGGAACAAGGATTGTAGGTGGAAGTGATGCCAGAAGAGAGGCTTGGCCTTGGATAGTTTCACTCCATTTTGATTCCAGACACATTTGTGGAGCCTCCCTTGTCAGTGATGAATGGCTGGTGACAGCAGCCCACTGTGTATATGGGTAATGTTCATTGCACTCAGAAGCTAAGACATTCTGATACTCCCACAACATGCAAGTACACAAACAGTGAACAGTCATCAGTAAAGCTGGGTTGACATATGACCTGAGCCATCAATCAATCCTGTATAGAGCAAAACACACTTTCAAAGGATCATACGGAAGCCACTGGGGAGCGGCACTTTTCATAGGGTTTCTACATGTTTACTTTAGAATGAAATTAATATAAATTCACAAGTGCCTCTTTTCACTTGACTCCAGGGCATCTTTCCAACTAGCTGAGATGACACTGATGCCATGTCTTTTCTTTTTTCTTTTAATGATGATAAAACACTTGTTTTATGTGCAGGTTCATGAAGGAGGCATCAGATGATGAATAATTTGTGACACTGATATAAAAAATTAACAAGTATCGTACCATTTAATTACGGTGTTTTGAATCACTTGTGGCTCAGCTAGAGGCTCCATTACTTTCTGGTAAACCCTCAGTCCTTACTTGAAAGCAGAGAATCATGGAAACTAAGCAGCATTTTTCTGAACAATGAAGAATTGCCCTTTAGGTATATGGTATTAATACTATAATTAATGTCAGTCTCCATTAATTAGTTAAATCTCCTCAGAGGTATAAAGGATGACATCATGCCTCCTAAAGGTAAACTCAGTGTTGCCTGTTCCTCCTCTATGTTATCATAGATTGATCAAGATTTACTATGCATCATTGGAATGAATCTTGATTTATGTGCATTGATTAGGCAACATTGGATATCCTCTAGATGGTGTTATTTATACCACTCAAAAAAGCAATGCATATTTAAATATTTTCTAGGGTTTGTTTCCGTAGCATCTGTAACAAAAACAAGTGCTATAAAAGACACCCAGAAACTTGAATGGCAAAAAAAGGAACATTAATATTCAAAATTACAGTAGAGCTTTCATTATAAATAGCTACATAGTAAAGCAGTGGAGACTACACCAATACATTAATGCTGCCTCATTGCATGACACCAAGACACTGACATGAGAAGGATAAAGCTCTTAACTTTCACACAATAAATCCACACCTGTCTTGGTACTTCCTTTTCACTTAAATCACCTTTCTATTTTCACTAAAATCTCATTTTATCATCTTGACTTTGCTGGAATTTTCTTAAGTGGGAGCTTGTATTTTTACATCTTAATTCTGAACATTTAGCCTAAAGGCTCCTAGTTTAGAACAACATAACCTCTTGATGTCAAACCAAAAGATTAGCAGAGTCCAATTCAGTCCAACAATCAGGCTGAAAACGTATTTTTGAAACTATCAACTAATTGATTAAAAAACAGCAAATATAATTAAGTGATCTGTCTTAAATACAGCCTCAAACCAGCATGCATAGCTCAGCAAAAAATGCAAATTATGTCATATTTTGTCTTAGCATATCCTTTTTGATTTAGATTAAAAACAAGAAGAGAACAATTTTCTGACTCTACGAACTGCAGCATTTCCAACAACACTTCCGGCCTATTTTTCTTTACATATTCTATAAAAATGTTCTAACTGGAACTGATATTAATTGTCTGGTGGGGAGTCAACACTATTCTTCACAGTGTTTAAAAGGCCACACTAATTTAGTTAATGTATTGCCCTCTGCACTACTGTCTGATTAATTCTTTATAAATAATGCATTATAAGCTTAACATAAAAAATCAACCACATATTTCTACAGTGTGGATGTTTAAGATAGTGTTATTATCACAAAACTGTAAGCACATCTGCTACATACTATTTATTTTGACAAAATGTACAAATGCTATGAATTACCATGAGGTGAAAGATTAGCATTTTACCTAGCATATTTTTCAGAACTTGTACTAATCATTCATAATTGTGAATTTTCCTTGCAACTTCTAGAAGGCAATTAAAGCTATCTCGATGGAAAGCAGTTCTTGGCTTGTATGACCAATCAGATATGACACAGCCTTCAACAGTAGTTCAAGACATCGATCAAATTGTTATAAATCCTCATTACATGAAACGTATGAAAGGTAGCGATATTGCTCTCATGCACCTTCAATACAAAGTGCAATATACAGGTGAGTTGCTATTTTCTCCTAAAAACAGATTTACTCTATTATGCAAAACTCTGTGAGAAGCATATGAGGGTGGTGGGGTGACTGTACATTTTTTACAACCTAATCATTCTGGAGTTAGTCCAGTACTTCCTGGAGATCTTGCCCAAAAAAGTGGGTTTGAATGAACATTTATGAAAATTTCCCTATGTGACTTCATAAAAAACTGAATACAGGGAAGAGGTTGAAATTGATTGCTTGTTTCACATTCACAGATTACATACAACCTATCTGCTTACCAGAAAAAAATCAACAGTTTTTACCAGGAATTAACTGCTCCATTGCTGGCTGGGGTAGTATTATGAACGGAGGTAAGTCATCTGCTTGGAAAAATATGACAGGCATGAAGCTGTGAGGGAAAGCTTGCTTCTGTGATTCCAGAGGGATTGCTAAGGCTGCATAGTTTAAACAGGTACTCCTCCATATGAAAATTTGGGAACAATCCCTCTCCACTGTTTTTTCTCTAAAGCAAAGTTATAGACTTTATAACATATTTATTACAAACACTATACATATCTAAGATCATTAAACTATGTAAAAACCTTATTGCATCCCCTTAGAACTTAGGATGACTTCTTTTCTCCGTATGAAATATATACATCTTATTTTCAGGTATGGGGGTGGGGAAGGAGGAAGATTAGTCTTTCTGACAATGTGCAAATGATTTTTCCGAGAAGTCAAGCCTACTGAGTGTAGTGTGAAACGTATGTTCTCTTTGTGTATCACATGCTCCAGGTTTGGAGTGTCTGTGAAATAATAAACATGCCATTCCACGTCCACAGTTTCTTGTATGCATTTGCTTCTACATTTTCACAATATAATTGCATTTAAAATTTTGGGTAGGAATTAGTAACAAATTTTTTTATAATAACTTGTAATAGCCAAAGTTACACAGTAAGGGAAACACTGAGCAGTCCAAGCTCCTAAACCCTTAATGATCCCTTAGATCTCCCCATAGTGAGTTCACAGCCATTGATTTTAGTAATCTTGATTAAATTATAACCAAATTCAGTCCCATTACACAAATGAAAGACAGGATTCAGTTAACGAGCACCATTTAATCAGTGACTGTGTTACAGGAGTATATGCCTGAATAATACAGCAGTGAGGCAGGGCTTCCTGCTGCTCAGTAACGTGCCCAGCATGCTGGAACAGGAACAAAATCATCAGTGTTCCAAGCGGAATGTATGTATTTATTAGAGCAGGTAACCATACGTTTTATTTTCATCAGGTCCCACTTCAGATATATTGCAAGAAGCAGAGGTCCCTCTCATTTCAAATGAAAAATGCCAACAATGGATGCCAGAATATATCATTACTGAGACTATGATCTGTGCAGGATATGACACAGGAGGAATAGATACCTGTCAGGTAAATACAAGTGACTCATTTCCACTGCTAGCATATACCATATCCAATTACTGAATAAAATGCACCCTGATCCTTGAATCATTAGAACCAGGACAATCACTGCCCATGAATGTTAATTTCTACTCATGGTATTTTGCCCATTTATCAGGGTGCAAGTTGAAAAGATAATCTATTTTGTATCATTTTGACATAAACAACCATGGAGGGAGATAAATACAAAGACTGAAAATTTTCTGCACTAAGCTTTGAATAGTTACTGCTGAGTAATTTCATCAAGAAAAGAAGGACATGGCCAGGGAAAAGCTGAGTACAGAGAAATAAATACAAAATAGATTGAAGTCTCAGAAATTCTTCATGCAGGGAAACAGAGAGAGCAATGATGCTTTTCCCCAGAATCTGTAGACCTTTTGTAAATGAATGCCACAGTATTTTGGAGAGTCTGCCTTTCTGCATTGATCTCTTATGCTGTGTCCTGGGGAACCCAGTATTTAGCTGTTCCAGCTCTTCTTATAACACACAGTTTCTCTTTGAGGACGTAGTCAGAGTTGGCTGTCACACAGTTTCTCCTTCCAGCAATATGGAGTCTATGGCATGGAGACGGACTGGTTCTCCTCTAGTCTGAAGAGTAGAACTGTCATGTAATTGCTCTAGGCTTGCCCTCACAACCTAAGCCTTCATCAGGTGAAGCTACTTTGGCTAGTTTAGTCTGGGAGAAGGAGTTTATGCTAGCCTAATGTCACCAGCCGTTCCTTCAGGTCTCTGTGGCTTTCCTCTTTCTTTTTTGCCTTCTAAACCTCATACTGGAAAAAAAGCAGTGTAGAATCACAGTCTGATACAGAGTACAAGTGAGCAGTGTTGTGATCAATGACCATTCAACTATGAGCAAAGATGAACAAGTGTGTTCTGATAGTCCTTCAGCCTTTAGGCTGCTGTCACAGCCTTTGAACTTCTGAGGGTGCCCTAGAGTTACCGGCAGAAGTATTTTAATGGGCAAGTCCTTGCAGAATTCTCCTGTAAAGCTCCATTCACAGGGTTGTGAGAAGACAAAAATAACACCGGTTCAACTAACTCAACAGACAATCAAAAACAGTCATTGTTTTCTTTCTCATCAAAACAAGACACACTGAAATCCTTCACTCAGGCTGTGGGATGAATCAAATTTGGTCTCCCACTCTTTAGTGCAATGCTACATCTGCTCAAGTATTGAGAAGGGGGGAATGAGAGAAAGACCCCTATTCTGTCAATCTTGCCATCTTTTTCTCTAAACTGAGAACTGAAGAAACTCTGGGGTGGCCAAAAATAAAACTGCATTTTGACTGCATAGATTCAATTAAAAAATAAACCTGCACATTTACCCAGGCTTGGTGAAAGAGGAAGGGTTACACCTAAAAGTAATAAGTAAAAATTATCATTTGAAACCTAGTCATGTATTGATATGAATGTATTGGTAAGATTTTAAGATTATGTCCTTAAAAAAAAAGGATATCTATTATCTCAAGAATTTTTCCACATGGAAGAATTCATATTGACCTGACTTCTGGCGACCAAGGCATATAGGGATACAGCGTCTATGATTAAGGATCAACACAAAGCATCATGAACAAGCTCTGATTTAGAGTTGACACTGTTCACTTTTAACTTCTGCATTTCATATTGCAGGGAGATTCAGGTGGCCCTCTGGCATGTGAGGACGGTAACAAGTGGTTTTTGGTTGGTGTAACATCATTTGGCTATGAGTGTGCACTTCCCAAACGACCAGGAGTGTATGTTCGAGTCACCATGTTTGTGGACTGGATAAAAAAATACATCTATTAGTTTGATATATTTTAATGATAGAAATAGAATTTTTAATTAAACTCTGAAAGTAAGCCATTGTAAAGTTATGTAAACTAGACTGACATTCCAATCTCACAGTCAGAGAAACTGAATAAATATTTAAATTCTGTGGAGGAAACTACTAATAGTTTGAGAACTCCATTGCCAATTGAGAGCAATATTTCAAAATATATCCTGTGGTTTTGTTAATCAATAGTTTTGTTGTTTCTTGAACACCTGTGCATTAGAAGCATAGTGGAGGGCTTTACAAAGCATGGAGAGTTAAAAAAAAAAAAGTTTACAAACTGCAAATGCTTCATTGAAAAATGGTCTCACTTATTAATTTCAGGCCAAACATTACCTATTTTTATGTTTTCACACTGTATTTTTCAACATGCATTTTCATTTTAATGCATAGTCAACTCTTCTCAGTCAACACATCAAAAGGAAGGTATACATTGTCTCTTTAAACTGGGCTCATGGGACTTCTTCTGTCTTGTCCATTACAAAAAAGCTCTGGAATGAGGCTTATGGATTGTGCATAAAGACGGATCATGTATCATGCTGCCTTCTAATGAATAAACAATGTAAGCCATAAATTCTCTCTTGTGTAATTTGTTTGGAATTAATAGAGTTCAATAAGAAATGAATATAGCTTTTAGTTGTCTTCTTAGGCAAGTGTTTTGGCAATTATTCACGCAATTCTATTAGGTGCTTGTGTACACCCAAGCACAGAATCACAATACTGCAACTTCCTCTCATAAGTAATAATGACAATAATGAGTATCAGCTATTCCTGATGAATAGGGTTCCGTTTATATATTACATGCTTTTTCTGTACTGGTGGCTTCTAATACTGTTTTTTACTTCATATAAAAGTTATCATGATAACCCACTGCAGTATTCTAAAGGGGAAATATGAAGAAATAAAAAGGAGTTTTTATCTTCTTAACCTCATTTCTAAATAGATTTCTATTAAAATATAATAATCTACTTCTTAAAATGCCTTAAATTTAATGGTGTCTTCATTAAGCATTGAAGGACTAGGTCCAGACCAAGCTGCTTGGCTTTATAAGTACATCTGTGACTACAAGGAACACAGACTGATGTAATTAGCTAGAGAGAAGATAAAAAAATTTTAGACACTTTCTTTCATTTAAACCACATGGGTTTTAGCATTAAAATGTTAAAGTTGCAAATCCTATGTTTTGTAGTGGAGTACTGTAACTTTTCTTCACCTGAAAACAGCTACTGAAATTAAAGTGCATTCTGCTCTCAGTATAAATTGATTTGCATGAAGCAATGTTAAAAAGCTTAATTAAAATGTGACATTTCAGCATTATTTACCATACATCACTGTTGTAAATGGTGTTTCAATCTGTTAATGAAATGCAAGAGACAAAGCAGATCCAGTTACTAGAAAATATGATTCCCAGAAATACAGTAATATACTTCTATTGAGGTGTACATTTTGTTTCCCAAAATGCAAAGCATAGGTGTATTTTGAGGTATGCATTAATAAACCATCCCTCAGACTAAAAAAAAAAAATCCCATTATAAACTGGTATAGAGATATATATGTATTCTAGCCTAGTGTAATTAAAAACACATTTTATTTCAACTAATCTATGTCTAAATAAAACATAACTTCAGTTGACCACATTCTAGCCTTCATTCAGCACCCATTACTCTATTTGCCTGCATATCAGCCTGTGGAGAAACCAGTTGTTACTATGCTAAAACCCATGGGCAGAATGGATTATTTTCAGTTGAGTCACGGGTCCAAGATGCTTTGAAATACATGGTGGAAGATTGTTACTGACTTACACTTGCTTGCACCTAAATAAGTTTAAAATACTAAACAAGTAAACAAGAGCTTTCTCTCTCAGATACTTCTCACTTGCAAAAGGCAAAGATCACTATGAAAAAAAAGGGAGAGTTTTATGTAAATCTTCATTCTCCCTCCTTCCCTATTTTCTCTGGAGAGTTAATCTATGAAGACCATAAAAAAACCCCAGGTTTTTTACTGCAACTGTTCCCAAGAAAGTGGACTCTCTTGCCCTCAACTGAGTTAAGCATTACTTAATTCAGAAAAAAAATTATCTTGATGATCATGCAAGATCATAGTATTTTCTCTCTATTTACAATCAGTACACAGGAAATTGAAGTATGGGATTGAGCAAAGAAGTAAGATGTGACTGACTGGGAAAACTACAGAATATTCTAAGTAGGAATAGCAATGCTTAACCTGAACAAGAGAAGAAGGCTGCTTCAAAGAGGAAGTAAAAACATGGCATAGCAGCAACTTTAAGATACTTCCACAAGTGCTTCAGCACTGTCAGTGCACGATTAGTATGACTGGTATGAAACAATGTGGAGGTTATTTTCCTTTACTCAGAAAAAGGGATAAACATTTGTCTCCAAAGTTCAAAGCTGCGGTCACCATCAGCTAGCACAGTGTAGGCAATCCAGAGAGTAATACATATGCTTTTGCTTCTGTCCAGCTCTCACCAGTTTTCACCCAGCGGTAATTTTGCATCTGTGTTAATGGAAAGCAAACTACACCTTATGTTCCTGCTCTTGAACTCTTGCTGCAACTGCAGCAAAACCTGCTGTCTGCTACAGCACCAGACTGTCAACAACAACATCAGCCAGCATGCTGTTGCTACCACCCCGAGATCTACTCCTAATCACTGTTAAAACCATTCTTAAGGCATAGAAAGCACTTAAGGAAACAAAAGAGGATGGACATTAATGATGTTAATAACAACTCTGAAAGATGACTTTAAGTGCATCAAGGTTACTTCTAAATCTTTCTATCAATTAACATAATTAATGCTTTTCTAGCTAATAGTCTGAAAAATGTTGGGATCAATTTATTAGTTCTACTTCCAAGAAAAGCAATTTGTGTTCTCTTTGATCCAACATTATATTGTTCCAAACAAACTATTAGCTATATTTAAGTAGTCTTTAATGTCTTTTTTTCACATAGACTTACTGAAACAAGTAATTCTAAACTCTTACCCATTATATTTTTCTTTTCCCTTAGAAAAAGTAAAAAATTTTACATCTGTAACAACTGAAGGCTGCTTCAAAGGATACCTCATTAATGAGATATCACTTGCCAAGTGATTTCTGTTGACCTTTGACCAATATGTCATAAAGTTATGGTCATCCTCTAGAAAAGTGGATTCATTTTATGACTTCGAATGACTTTTATGAATCCTTGAATTCTGCCACATCAGATCCATGTCACAACATTGTGGCTATCTCTGCTAGTGACCATTTTATTACATATTATAACATGATTTGTCTTCCTGAGGATCAAATACTGTGTAAAATGTGTAAATAAACACTAAACAAAAATTTTATATCAAACATTTATGCAAAGATAAATAATTGTTACACTGTAAAATTGTCAGTTCCATTTACAGTACATTAACTACATTACAATGCATGAGAGACCAAAGAAACAAAGAGGGTTTGTTTAACTACAAACAATCTTAAAATTGATATACATTGTAGATATTTCCCCATAAAAACTTCAAATGCTCTGTTCATTTCATTTCTCACAACTAGCTAACTTACATTTCTTAGCAAAATAAACACATACCCTTTATTTAGCATGGCATATTTTGTTACTGAATTAATAATCAAACATTATATAAAAATGATCTGAACATTTGCCTCAAGGGGGAGCTTACAGTTCATTCTTGTAGGTCCTTTGCATTTTCAAGCCATTCCCAAGCTAATGTTCTTTGACGACATTATAATACAGCCTGACTGCAAAATGTTATTTTTGCTTTGTTTTCAGTCAGTAAATCATTATACCTCTATGCTACTGTCCTTCCTTGGCGTCTTTGAAATCCATAGTGTGGACTGGTTTGGACTGGTTTTTGTTCTTCCTTTACTGAAAAATAAAAATATAAAGTATTTTCAGTGCATGCAAGCGTTTGCAGTCCTGGTTCAGGTTTGTGATCAGACCTGGGTATTTCATCCCACATTCAAAGGCTGTCTTTGTTGCTTTTGTAGCATAGATTCCCCATCCAGAAAAGGGTCATGCCCATGCTGCGCCAAGCATAGCACCGCAGCGGTGGGTTGAGGTAAGCAACTGTTACCAAAGTTATCAGACCACCCTGCTTAGCAGCGCTCTTCCCAGGAACTGAAATGACTTGGCTTGGCCTATTTTTTTTTTTTTTTTTAAATTTTATTATTTGGTTGTGGGTTTTTTTTCAGTTCACATTCAGCCACATCTACTCATGCCGAGGGGTCTTTTCAGACATGGGTGTGGGCTCTGTTTGACCAGGGTGCTGGGAAGCTGAGCACTTCCCTTCTGTGGAGGGACATATGAGTAATGGGAGTGCACACAGCCCCAAGCCCACATCTAACATGTATGGGGTGCAGCCCACCCACCCTGGGGTTGGTACCACAACCCTGCCCACACGCCTCCTGGAGCTGCACCCCTGTGACCATGGAACACTAAGAGGGGTCAGTGTTCACAGGTACACCAGGAAGTCTCTTCCCTTTGGGGCTTGACCTAACTTCTAATGGAGTAATGGCACATGAATCAGACCCCTAGTGATGAATGACTGGTAGAAAGCTTCCTTAGGCCTAGTTTTCATTCAAAACTGTCAATCGTATGTTTGTGTTTGGGATGTTTTTTTAAAAAGAAAGATTAATCTGGTTCTAAAAGTACTTTCTCTGCAACACTGCCAGAATGTTCACTCCAATCTTTACAGGGAGCCCCGAGGTACCCTGTAAGTGGATGACAGTCTTTCTGCATCTCTGCTACAACAGCCACAACACACCATCTTTCCTCACTTAGATGGCAAATGAAAGTTCACCGCAGTCTACTGAAAAGAAAAGGCACTTGGTGAGCCACTGCAGCTGCATTTCAATCAAAATGCTTTAGTCTCCAGCCAGAATATTTCACGCTGATTTTTTCCAATTAACTGAGAACGAGAAGAGAGCCCAACATTATTTTGAAGTTGGAAGCCTGA